CCTGCCCCAGTGCCACTTTGTCCACCAGAAATCCCACTTGACCAGATCCAGGATTGAACCCGAGCCGCCACAGTGGGAAGCCAGCAATTAACTGCTTCAGCTATGGTGTGGCCGGCAAGGCATTACACCCACAGTACAGTCCAAAATGGTTTGTATAGTGTATGTTCACACATTCTCTTTCAGTTGAATAACATATTTTTGCAGTACGCTCCTTTCAGTATTCCCCATCAGTATGTGCTGGGAGACATGGGGATAGGTGAATTGGGTGGGAAAGGATAATCAGTTCCTCTTGAAATGGAGCTATGTGCCATAGAAGCTGTAATGTTTATCAGGCAGTATTCAGTTTTTTTCTATCTAGCTCAAACTGTCGTTCCTGCACAGGCAAGTTTTCAGTGTAATTGTTGTACATAATGAAGAAATGGCGCAATAATTTGCTCTCAATTTCTATTCTGATGAAATGTTACATATATACTAAGTTTGCCATCAGCAGAACAAAGACCATGAATACTGTGGTCTGAAATGATATGGTAACTTTTTCATCTAATATAGGTATTCAGTGAGCTTTCTCAGTTACGAATCTAGGAACTGTGTCATTTTGTAGTTATATAGCCAGGCAACGTAATGTGTCTGTCATCAGAATAGTATCTATTTCACAGAAAGTTTTAGCTTTCAGTGAACATTTGCAAAAGCCAACCATAATCACTGTTCTTTGTACCTTATTAAGTGCTCATAGCCCATGAACTATCTGTATGTGATAAGAAATCTGCCCACTCTTGACAAAATTACTGTACAGATGTCCATTCCAAATTCCTGTACAATATAACACTGACTTCTGTAAGGATGGCTAGTGCTCATGTCTATTGGGGTTCATTTCCATCCACTATGCTCTTTAGAGTAACCATTTTTACACTTGGCTCACTTCGTCTCCCATTTGTATATGAATATTGCAGAAACATGAACACTTTCTGCAGTGATGGAACACATTTCTGTTAAACATACAGTGGAAACACAGAAACAGCCCTGATAATGGAACAACATAACATTCCTGTCTTTCTTGAAAGTCCACTGTGAATGGTGCTGCTAACTTTTGGTATATTTGCTTTATGTTGGGCCATGTTGTAGTTTCTACTCTCTGAACCTTGAACCTCCCTTCATTAATACCAGAGATTGTAGGTGGTATGNTGTTAACAAAAGATACAAACACTGTCTTCATAAACCAATTGCTAACCTCTTATGCTTTCAGAAAAGCGCATTTTATGCTGGGATCAATGTTTTAATAACCTGCCATCTGATCTCAAAGGTGTTATGAATGGAAAGGCACGATTTAAAATGGCACTGAAATGATACTCAAATACACATTCATTCTACTCTGTTGATGAATACCTATTGTCTAGAAAATAACTTGTGCATTTTTAAATATCCTTGTGTGTAGTCACTGTATATTCTTGGTTTCTCTTGTGTCACAACTCCATTGGATGACATATTCCACATCCTACAGTCATTTTGACTAACTTTGGATCCATGGAATGCAATGCAGTGTAATGTAATGTAATGTAATGTTACAGGAAAACCATAAATTGCTTTTATTCCATACTTCTGTTGAAAGACCAAAATGAACAGTGTTGAATTTTCATATTATGGACTTGTAGGTAATGCCACCATGTTGTAGTTTGGCTGGCTCAACTTACTCAATTTTGGCTGCCATCTTCAATATAGTCTCCTTGGGAACATATACAGTGATCCCATTCTTTTTCAATGCTTCAGAAGCACTGTGGAAGTCATTTTCCTCAATGCTGTCAAGTACCACTTGTGATTCCCTTTGGATGTCAGACACTGTTTCAAAATGTCATTCCTTCAGTTTCATTTTCAATTTGCGAAACAAAGCAAAATCACAGGGGGCTAAGTCTGGCGAGTAGGGAGGATGGGGAATGATAATCATGTTCTTATTAGTCACAGACTCTGTGGTTTTCAGGGATGTGTGGGTGGCATGCTGTCATAATGAAGGAGCCATTTGTGATTGCACCAAAGTTCCAGGCTTTTTGTCACACATTTTCTCTTGAGTGTTTCAAAACATCACAGTAAAATACAGAGTTGATCGTAGCGTTGGGAGGAACAAATTGACAGCGAACAATCCCCTTCACATCAAAAAACAATGAGCATGCTCTTTGTTGAACTCTAGACCCGGAATGCCTTTTTTGCTAATGGTGATCGTGGGCTCTTCCATTGTGTCATTTGTTGCTTTTTTTCTGGATCATAACCGTAAATCCAATTTTCATCACCCATCCTAGAGATACCCATAAAATCTGGGTCCTAATTAGCCTTCTGTAATAGCTTAAGACACATTTATACACCGCTGCTTTTGATCATTTGTCAAGAGTCAGGGAGCAAACTTCACGGCAGTGTGCGGCACATTTGAATTGTCTGTTAAGATCTGGCAAATTCCATAACTGATCCCAGTGGTGTCTGTGAACTCATGGATTGTTTGGCAGCAGTCTTCATGGATGTGTTCTCGAATTCTTACAGAATTTTCTGTTGTTTTCCTGGTGCTTGGTCACCCTGAACATTTGTCATCTTCAGCTGACACTTGACTGGCCTTGAAACGTGAATGCCATTCAAAAATCACTGTCCTGCTTAAAGAATGTTCTCCAAAAGCCTCATGAAGCATTGCAAGGGCCTCAGTAGCAGATTTACCTAGCTTCATGCAAAATTTGATGCAGGCATGTTTCTCAGTTTTGCCATCCATCACAGACAAAACAAAACACAAAGTCAAAAAAGCAGTCATGTAAAAACAAGGCATGTTCACCACACATAGCAGACTGATGCAATAGGCTTTTGGAAATGTGACCTTGGCCTCCCCTCTTTATCTTTCATCGAAGCAGTCACAACAGTAACAGTCCGGGAATTTTCTGATAGGGATTAATTGTTATACATGTATCAAGTTGCCCTTGGGCAAATAAATACTGACAGTGCTGTGGTCTGAAATGGTGCCTCATGCAGTGCAGTAAACCCTTGTAAAAGATCTGGATATGAGGTACAAAATCTGGTTGTGTACAGTTGTGAATTTTTAGAGACGTTGAGGCACTAAGAAGGTTTTGTAATAAGAACACTATTTAAAATAAAAAATAACCCCAGCATAAAAACCTTTATTTAATCACATTTAGTATTTCTATGTTTATTGCCTTTATTGGCTATGTATCCTGTGGCATACTTCTGTGATTGCCCCTTCACTCAGTAATAGCTGACACTGGCATCATTGGATACCTCGTCCCCACTGTTAATCTTTTATAATGAGGGTTTTCTGTGCTTGCAAATTAGCATTGTGGTGCATCTTTTTGTGACACTCTTTATATGGTATTACTCTTAAAACTGTTACATATTTCTTTGTGGTTAATGAGCATTTTGGCCACTTAGGCTCTGATGAGTGTTAACAGTGGCTGTGGCTTCCTTAACCCAGAATTTCCCATGAGACTTCAGTCCTGTCAGCCACAGTGTTTTCCAGCAACATATCCTCACTGGATTAAAAGAGATGGCTCTGTTTTATAACCCAGCATATAGCTTATTGAAAGTTCAACTTTCTGGATGAAAACTTGGCCTATAGTGTTCCCTTTTGTTATGTTTTACTACAGAATGATTTCTCATGAAGTTCAAGATCAGCATGCTGTTACTGTCTCATGCTTTACTAATCCTTAACATCCTTGACAGCCAACAGTTATGTGTTGAGAATCCTGCTCCATCCTCTTGAAATCAACATGTGGTCTTAATGTACTAACATTAAGCTTTAACATCTTAACTGGAATGAAGCTTACTTTGGGAATAACATGTGAGTTTATATATTCTTGTGACTTACATTCAGAAGTGTGGTTCATGTTGTTCTTCAGTTCTGTAATTTTAGTTAATTTGCATGGACCATTAATGGCTGACCATTATATTTATGTTCTCTTTTTTTTTTTTGCTATTGGGATGGGACTGAGTCCCTTGTACTGTGGCCACTTCTGGCCTATTGTACCAGCCCCAGATGATAGGTGAGGGTGATTGTGGAGCAGTTGGTGGAATGAAGATTGGCAGGGGAAACCGAAGTACTCAGAGAAAACCTGCTCCAGCACCACTTTGTCCACCACAAATCCCACTTGACCAGACCCGGGATCGAACCTGGGCCGCCACGGTGGGAAGCCAGCAACTAACTGCTTGAGCTATGGTGTGGCCTTATATTTATGTTGCTCTGTGGGGTAGACTTTGTTAAACTTTTTGCATAATTGAAATATGAATTTGCATGTGATGTAACAGACTTACCCAACCCCTTTGCCATCTTCTGGTTCTAACACCATGTAGTGCAGAGAGAGCCTGACACTTTGGAGGAACATATTGCCTGCACCTTCAAGTCTAAGTAAGCTTGCTGCCTCTTTCTGCTGATTCTGAAGATGGGGGTGATGTGTTCCTCCAAATCATGAGGCTGTCTCTGAACTAGTAATATGACGGCCCAGGAGACCCTACTCTTCATAGTCATGGCCATGATAACTTCAGATCCTCTGCATCAATGGTAGAGTAATTAGTGGGTAACTATAGTAAGTATATTTTTAATTCAATGTTGTAAATACTATTATTTATGAAACAGTGCTGAGTTTCTAAACTGTATATGTTTGCTAGTGGCTGTTGATACTTACCAGCATTATGTGAAGAACTGTTTTGTTCTAATTAATATGTTGCTGGACATTATCCATCATCTTGTCTGTTATTAAAAAACTGTCTAGTTTCTATTAAAAAGCACAACGTTTTGGGAACTGGAATCTGTCCCTGTCTTCAGGTAAAACCTACTCAGTTGGGTCCAATAGACAGAGCTAGCCCCTATCTCCAGACAACTATGACAGTTTCAGAAGGGGTTCATAAAACAAGCACAACATAATCCATCTGTGAGAGCTAAGAAATATTGAAGCTATCATATTTGAGGCTTAGCACCAGAGAAATATCTAGAATGAAATCATACCGGGAGAGAAGCAATACTCCTTGTGGTACCAACATATGAAACAAATAGTTACCCAAACCAACTACACTTGACGTCGCTGTAGTCTCTTGATTTCTGCTGTGATGACAGGGGCCCAGATGGGAGAGATATCCACACTGGGTTGACTGATTGGATGGTCCAGCAGAGACATATGGGCTGATTCCTTTATCTTCTGTATGTAGTGTTGGGTTCGATCTGCAAGACCTTCACTTCATTCCAACAAATTTTGTGATCTTCCTCGTATGCATGTTGGGCCAATTTAGACTTTTCCAGCAAATCCTGTGTCATATTATATTTGTGCTCCTTAATGCGTACTTCTAGGGGTCTGCTAGTTTCACGAAGCACTGTGTGTATAGCATCCCTTGCGACTGCGGCAGATGTTACATCTAGATATTTCTCTGGTGCTAAGCCTCAAATATGATAGCTTCAATATTTCTTAGCTCTCACAGATGGATTATGTTGTGCTTGTTTTATGAACCCCTTCTGAAACTGTCATAGTTGTCCAGAGATAGGGGCTAGCTCTGTCTATTGGACCCAACTGAGTAGGTTTTACCAGAAGACGGGGACAGATTCCAGTTCCCGAAGCGTTGTGTTTTTAATAGAAACTAGACGGTTTTTTAATAACAGACAAGATGATGGATAATGTCCAGCAACATATTAATTGTAACAATTTACCATCATCACAAACTTTTAGATCTTATTTGTTTTGTTCTAATTGTGAAACTCTGGAAAGATGGCAGAATTATTCCCTATGAGAGTCCATCAGTTCTTTGAAACTACAAAAAAGTTTTTACTACTCGCAATTTGAATGCCATAGTGCTAAAAATGGAATCTGGTAAGTGCCTAATGATGACATAATGATCTGCGTCACTGACTAATGTCCCTCATTCCTATGGTAGGTGGCATATAGCATCTTTGTGCATGTTATTTCCGTCACTCTAAAATACATATACTGTACAATTATTAAGTTTTGGACATTATCCATTATCCTGTTTTTTATTTAAAATGCAACGTTTTAGAGACTGAATTCTGTCTCCGTCTTCAGGTTAAGGCCTACTCAATTTGGCCAAATTGATAGAGCTAGTCCCACTTGAACCCAAATGAGTAGACATTTTCCTGAAGGCAGAGACAGAATCCAATCTCTGAAATTTGTGTTAAATAAAAAACAGGATAATGGATAATGTCCATAAACTCAATAATTGTATTAATATACTATCATCACAGACTTTTAGATCTTACGTACATAGACTGTACTGTGCAATATTTTAAATTCCTTTACCAGTCTGTAGTATAATCATGTGTTCCATTCCTACACAATTATAAAATAGTAATATTTTCTCATTGTTATCTGATGTAATGTTTTCGTGCAGAGTCCGCATTTCAAGCTCTTCAACACTTCTGTCCCACAGAGGACAAACATTGCTTGGTGAGGAAGCAAGTGATGATGACATCAATGAATACTGACCGCACATGTGTGTGTGTGTGTGTGTGTGCGTGTGTATGCACATGCAGAAAGTGTACATAAGTGTTTGACAAGTGCCTGGACTGACAAGTTTGCAGTAGAAAACAATTATATTTGGTCTTAAACATAACTATGTACTGAGTAATGTCTGGTATTAGAGAAATAAGTTTGGTATTGCGGTTTCAGATTGTCTGGGTACTGTGTTTTATAGTGGCAATTGAAAATTTAACGTATCTTATCCGTTGTGATACAAGAATTCCTTCCATAGCATTTTAAAGTGAACAACAGTGCGTGTGAGACCATGACCTCAAATTCAGAAGAAATCTTGCCATCTTCTGGGACATCGTGTGTCTTTACAACAGCTGATTTGTATGTTAAAAATCTTTGAATTTGTCACACAGAATAAATACTTCAAAAGGAAAAGAATAATAGAGTATTCTGTACCTTCTTAAATTTTCTTCTTTTTTTTTTTTTTTACAATGTTTCATGACTCTGTACAAGGAAGGAGATAATTAAGTGTTGAAATATAGATGACTAGAAGTGACAATGTTTTTCTTTGCTACTGAAACAAATTATCAAATTGGGATAATTACCCATAATAATAAAATTGAGACTTGGGTTCTCAGGCTTTGCTTGTNTGTGTGGTGCATACAGCCATGCTGGTAGCATTTCTCACTAGTTAGAATCATCGTCTGGCCTACCTAAATATACGATTATAATAGTTATTGTATTTACCTGAACAGAGGATAAAGTTTATATCTTATTTCAGAGAATTTAAACAAAGGTCATCTTGTTTATTATCCCTGAAAATAAGAAATAAACTTTATCTTCTGTTCTGAGATAATAAACAAGGGTCATCTTGAATCCAAATGTGAAAAATGTATGTATGTATATATAATTACACATATGTCGATGTTTCTAAGTGTTGTTGAGCTTTTAGGGTTGTCATGCATATACGGCAAGGTTATGGAGAATTGAGCTACCCATGAGTTTGCCAAAACTGCGAACTGAAAGTAAAGAGATAGTGTGCTCAGGTTGATAATTTGGGGACAGTAAATGTGAGAAAGATGGCGGTGAATTCAAAGAGAAGGCAGGAATGGTGAGGAGAGCAACAGTAGAAGTGAATGAAGGTTAGTGACCACAGGATTGCAAAAGAAGGAAACTTTATACAAGTAGTTTATAACAAGTTTTGAGACATTCATTATCTTCAATATGCTTTCTCATATTAACTATATGAAATTAATATGTTAAATCACTTTTTATGTGCAGACATCTTAGTTGGGGGATTATCTTAGATTTGGAATTGTCTTCCATTCATATAAATATGGCACAAAGCGCTCTAAAATGACTCTTAAAGAATATTTATGAATAGTTCGTATTACAATATTTGGAGTCCATTATCAAAGCTCAGTCCCCTTTGATTCCCTTGTGCAGGGCTGGCCATATTTGTTGCAGAAACTCTAGCAGAAGTACAATTGCTTATATCAGTACCATGCTGAATGAAAGATGCCAAGATTCATAAAACTGAAATCAGTGTGGTAATGGTTTAGTTACCCTATGCCTTGTTTAGAGTTATTAAACTCTTCCTAACATGAAAAATAGATTTGCATTTATGGCAACCACATTGTGAATTATAGTGGAATAATACAGGTCACATAAGTATGATACAGGCTGGAATTTAAGTGCATGTTTTAAGAGGCTTCACAGAGTCTTGTCATTAACAGGATGCAGTGCATTTGTTCTTACATGAATGAATGGAAATACATAACTTACTTGTACAAATTACTGCAGAGGGATTTTCATTTCTGTGAGGTCTAATGCAAGTTACATTTTTCTGAGGATTTTTGACTTTGTGATATTTGAAGATATTGCAGTGTGTTTTTGCTTCTCATCATTTATCCACATATCTGGCTAATGAATTAACTGCATTTACTTTCAGTTGAATCGTTTTGAAGTAATTCGTTGTTTCCAGAAACCCTTATTAAAAATAAATTTTATATATTAAGAAAATACACTTGAGTGCTTGAACACAAAGTGCCAAAGGACATTCTTGGAGCCAGTGAACAGAGTATGTAGGAAATCACACAACGGTAAACTTTATAATAAGTACTGACAGTAGTTTGAATCATACGTCATTATAGTGAGGTGGTCTACAGGATGGATGGGGGAATCAAACAGTATGGGAAGCACTCACGGTTATTGGGTTTTTGGGTTTTGCCCGTTGTCCAGTATTCTGAAGAGCACAATACTTCTTGAGCTGGATCTGTTTCCTTCCTCAGGTGAAGGGGTGGGAGGCACCTATTCCGTTGGGTCTTTTGGAAAGAGCTAACCTCAATCACTAGATTGTGATCCAGTCATTGAGGTTAGCACAACAGATTCAGTTTATGATACATTGTGTTCTTTAGAATACAAACGATGGACATAGCCTGAAAACCCAGTAATCCCGAGTGTTATACACCGTCATCAGAACCCTTTAGAAACCAGTATGGAATGTAGATGGTGAAACTTCCTGGAAGGTATATTCTATCCTAGTGCAATGCATATGCATGCTCTATCAGAATTTTTATTGCACAATTTCTTTTTATCTCCCGCTGAAGTGGCCTGGTCTCAGGGGATTAAATAGCTATGTGGATCTGACGGGTTGTCCAGTGATTGAGGTTAGCTCTTTCTAAGGGACCCAACTGAGTAGGTGTCTTCCCCTCTCACCTAAGGACGGAAACCGATCCAGTTTCCAAAACGTGTTTTCTAGTTTTCTAGAATATGGAAAAGTAAAAAAAACCCCAGTAATTCCTGGAAGGTGAGTGATAAAAGTAGATTTGATTGGGTTTATTAGAAGGCTTCTGTAATAGCAATGCTTAACCTTCAATCTAGTAATAGAGAAACAATTAGGTGTATGTCATACTAGTATGTATACATAGCAGTTAAATTTTACCAGAATTTCCTGATGCTGCATAATTCATAACACACTTCAGGCAGAGGTTAGAAGTCACATACAATCCCAGAAGAAATATTTCATAAATCTATTAATCTTCTCCAGCAAGCAAATAATATCAATTCACAGACAGTATGTGCTTTCTTGAAGTAGTAGGATCAAGAAATCAGGCTGTAGGTTTAAAATGGCCTTTTGATGCTGGTGGTGAATAATTTTAAGTGGTTAAGTGTGTATTCAGAATTGCAGTTTAGTCTTCTGAAAGTCTTGTTTTTAAACCTGAAACTGTTGGCATTTAGTGTACTGTTATTGCAGTAACAGTTAATGCGCTTTTTCAAGATGTCTCAAATTCAAAAAAATATGTTACATGATTTTTAAATTTTTTATAAGATTGTGCTTCAAGATATTTGACAAATCACCCTCATTATAATTATATTTCTTTTAATAACTGAGAATAAAGTTCTGACATTATGAGAGAACGTACATATAATTTTTCCCATGTATGCTAGAAAACATTTGGCTTGGAGGTATCTTGATTTCTTATTTAATAGAGAACGTTCAGTGTTGTGGTAGTACCATGCTGACAGGACTGAATGAGGTATTGTAGGCGAGTAATCACTGCTTACAGACTTTGTATGACTGTTTGTTCTTATTATAAAAATTAAGTACAAATATGCACATGGGAACTTGCTGTGTAACTCAGTGTTTTTTTTTTATTTATTTTGTGTACACATTTTGTCATCCTCGTCAGTGATCTCATATTGTGGTTTGTTGTCCTATGTATTTGTACTAATTGTAAGAAAGTTGGATCCTCATGTAAGTTTAAAATTTAAAAATGAGAATTTGAGGTGTTCAGTTACAGAAAATGGCTTATGTGTAGACCAACAACTGGAATAATTTGTGGTTTAATACAAGTACTTACAAATTAAATTAGCCGATGAAGCTTGGGATGTTGTCAATGTAAAATACATGTTTGTGTGGACTTGTCAGTATGACATTAATTATTGGCAGTGTAGAAAACATATAAATATGAAGCCGCATGGTAACAAGATGGAAATAGCTAACAGCAGCATGGTGTACCATCAGGTTTGGTTTGGGGATTTGGCTTGCAAATTTTGGTTCTACCATTTGAACCAAAGACAATATTGCAGGAGAATGTAAAGTAACCACATGTTGAGGACTTGGTGTAGTAAGTGTGAGTGTATTTCCCTGTACTGTTGTTTGCCTTCCCATTGTCAAGTTGTCCTGTTACACTTTTGGTAACTGTGACAAAACTGTCAGGTGTGGGTTGGTGGTAGGTGTTCAAAGAGTGTCCATTCCTAATGTGGTTTCCATTTCTTGATGTCCTGCCACTCCTTTGGTTGAATTGGCTCCCATTTCGTCTTACAGGAAATGATGGTTGACCACCATTTCGTAATTGTGTGTCTTCACTGCCGACATGGCCTGATTGACTCTTTTGTTCATAACCCCCATCAGCAGCCTGCTGGCCTACGGGGATACTCATAACTGGTGGTTGGTACCTTCCTGCAGAAAGATTAGTGTATGTTACATTACCAAGCCCAGGTGTTATAACAACAGTTTGTGACTGACCTCCTTGAGCAGATGTCTTCTGAGGACCTGCAACTGATGTTATGCGGCCTCTGTATCCCTTTGGTATGGTATATTCTGGAGTGCCATGTATGGTTTGGCCTGGTTGCAAAATATCTCCAGGACTATATTGATCTTGATCGTCTGAGTCCTGAACAATATGTGCACCATGCCCATTCAGTGGACCGAGAACAATATGTTGAGTTTGTGTTGGTGCACCTATGTGTCCTGTGTCATTTCTGTTCACATGTGTCTGAATTCTGTATCCTCCTTGTACTCTACCATTTCCATTCCTTGTGACTCCTAAATTGCTGGACTCTCCATGTTGAGAGGCCGTTTCTGTGCCTGTGAAAGAATGAGGCTGTCTGATTGCTTCATCATCATACCGGCTTAATTTGTCGCTATGATGTGGTAAAGCTGCGTCTTCTTGCCCACTTCTCTCACGTTCATGAGTTTGCTGCTGAGCAATTGTGTGTGATGAAGGTGCATTGTTGTTTGATGAAGCAAATGGTTGATATCCTGGTTGCTGGGCATGTGATGTAGATAGTCCATTTTGAGATATACTGTCCCTACTTCCTGACTGAACCAATCCTAGTTTACCTCCAAAGTTCTCATAATTACTATTGGCCGTTCGACTATAGTTTGTCTGCCCTGAGCCAGCTTGCGCTGCACCTGTATAGGAGATACCATGTAGAAATGAACCTTGAATCTGGCTTTGTGACTGTCCTGAATATGCTCCACTCTGAGCTGAAGCTGATCCACCACCATGGAAAGGGAAGTTCAATCCACTTGTTCTGTCATTTTTCTGATAAGGTGTAAATCCAATTTGGGCTTGACTGGATGTGCTCCCTTGGCCTTTTGCTTGTGCATCAGCCATTCCTCCTTGGTGACCTGCCTGGACTTGAGTATTTGTTCCATAATATAGGCCACCACTTTGTGCTTCAGCTGCTGTGGCTCCACTAGATGATCCCAGTTGAACCTGTGATTGAGTCTTGCCACTTCCAGCCTGTCCCTGTGCTGTACTTGTTGCTCCTTCTTTACCGCCAACCACTTGACTCTGTGCACCACGGCCTTTATCACTAGTCTGTGCTTGTGCTGAGAAGGCTCCAGTCCCAGAGTATATGCCACTCACTTGTGTTTGAGCAGTACCTTCTCCATACTTCGCTTGTGCGGAAGAAGCAGCACGAGTTTCCTTGTCTTCTTGTCTCACAGTACTTTCAACCTGAGAGTCTCCAGCAGCTGCGTAGTATACTTCCTGGCCTGTGTACACACCATTTACACGTCCAGGTTGTACATACTGTGGTTGTGTTACTATTCCACCTGGATAACCGACTTGTATTCCTGTACCAGGTGGCTGGTAAATCCCTGGTTGATATGGAATTGCTCCTGGTGGTGCAACACCTGGAACGATTCCTGGCACTCCAACACTTGGAACTCCTCCTGGTACACCAACACCAGGTATACCAACACTTGGAATCCCTCCTGGTACTCCAACACCTGGAACACCTGGAGGTACACCAGCACCTGGAATTCTTCCTGGAAACCCCCATGGTAGACCAGTTCCTGGAATTGCAGCCGGTACACCAACAGCTGGAACTCCACCAGGTACACCAAAACCTGGAATCCCCCAAGGTACACCAGCCCCTGGAACCGCTCCTGGTACACCAACCCCTGGAGGCACACCTGGTATACTAACACCAACTCCTGGAACCCCTCCTGGTACACCAAACACTGGAGCTACTCCTGGTACACCAACCTCTGGAGCTACTCCTGGTATGCCAACACCTGGAACCCCTCCTGGTACACCAACCCCTGGAGCTACACCTGGTACACTAACACCAGGAACCCCTCCTGGTACACCAAACCCTGGAACCCCTCCTGGTACACCAATCCCTGGAGCTACTCCTGGTATACGAATCCCTGGAGCTACGCCTGGTACACTAACACCAGGAACCCCTCCTGGAACACCAATCCCTGGAGCTACTCCTGGGACACCAACACCTGGAACCCCTCCAGGTACACCAAACTCTGGAGTTACTTCTGGAGCACCAACACCTGGGACACCAACCCCTGGAACCCCTCCTGGTACATGAACCCCTAGAGCTACTCCTGGAACCCCTCCTGGTACACCAATCCCTGGAGCTACTCCTGGTACACCAGCTGGAACCCCTCCTGGTATTCCAACCCCTGGAGCTACTCCTGGTACACCGACACTTGGAATCACTCCTGGTATTCCTACACCTAGAACCCCTGGTACACCAACACTTGGAATCGCTCCTGGTATTCCTACACCTGGAACCCCTGGTACACCGACACCTGTAACTCCTGGGTGATAAATTCCAGTAACTGGAGGTCCTGGCACCCCTAATCCTGGTATTCCCACACCCGGTATTCGAACTCCTGGCGCTCCCACACCTGGTACTCCTACTCCTGGCGCTCCCACGCCTGGTACTCCTACCCCAGGTGCTGCTATGCCTAGAACTCCTGGTGCTCCGACACCAGGTACTTGTACCCCCGGCACTCCCACACCTGGTACTCGTACCTCAGGAGGTCCCACACCCAGTGCTCCTATGCCTGGTACCTGTGGAGCTCCTTCACCTGGTATACCTACTGCAGGTAATCCGACACCTGGTACTCCTATTGCCGGTACCACTGCACCAGGTACTACCACTTGTGGTGTTCCAAATGGTCTTACTCCAGGGAAGCAACCTTCACACCCATTTCCCTCTCCAGTCTGACTCTGAGCTTGACCCATTCCATTTGTACCACCTGCAACAGAATAGGAAGATTATTTTATTCACATTTGTTTGAGGCCTAGTACAGCATCCATTATTATTGGGGAGAATAACACAAATAACCTTAATAGCTTCCAGGGTTTCTGTCTGGTGGAGCCATGATATGTACATAAGACTTAAGGTTTCTTTATTATTTGGGTAGTGCATGCTGGCTGATGGTGCCAGAAAACCAACGATACTACTGTACCTATACCACTGACTACATGTAAGAAGTCAGCAACCAGTGTTTAACACAGTTCCAGTGGTTGAAATAAACGACAGACATTAAAGTGTCATATGTAATGAAGGGGAAAGTCCTGCGGAGTAATGGTTCTGTGGTTCCCCCCCCCCAAAAAAAAACTGGGGATTAGTAAAAGAATTGAGAAAACCAAAGGTAGTAAACACATAAAACTCAGAATATGTCACAATGCCCTACTGGTATGAAGTATTTTCTATAAGAAGGAAGGTTTAAACTCAATTTAGGTTGATGATATGCATTGTATGTAAACTCAGTTTGGGTTGTTGATATTCGTTGTATTCCATACATTCTCAGTGTAGACAGGTTGGCTTCACTTTCAGATTACATCATTGATGAGCAAAATGCCTTTATTTGGCTTGTGGTTAAAATAGTGTGAAAGCTTATATGCAGGCTTCTCTCTCATCTGGGCCTTTCTTTTTGTGACTGTCATACTTGTGGACTGCTAAAACAAGCATGACAAGGATGTCAGTGTCACAGCTGTGAAAGAGGGCGAATATACGTGTCTTCAAGAACAATCTAAATTATTCTCAGATGGTAGCAGAAAATTGTTGAACCAATATAACAAGTGCCTGGAGAAAGAAGGGGGTTGTGATGATTGTAAGGCCGTCGGCATTTTGTTTGCATTTTGTATTTAATTTTTAATTGCCCTATTATTTGTGGATTTTATGCTTCTGTTTCAGTAAAATAAAAATATTGTACTGATGGTAGTGCTGGCGCTATATTAATTTGCATAGAAATGACATTACCTTCCAGCAGTCTGTCAGCTGTATCTTTTGTGAAGTTAGTCATAGGAACATGTGCCAGCCGAAGTATGTATGAGTAGGTCATAGGAAAAGCACATGTAAACAGATATTGTCTTAAAAAGAAATAATTTTAGATGAGGTTTCGTTTATGTAGTTTTTTTTCTGAAGGAAAATCTTGGAATGATAAACTTTGGGAACTGCTGAATTACGCGAATACTTCTGAGTTCTTAAGTTATAGCTCCGGAATTCATCTATGATCTCTGATAATATATTTAAATTAAAAGACAGGGTTTCAGTTTTGTGTTCTTTGACGAAGCTCATGACATATGTTAGTTTACGTTTGATCTCCGAATCCACTTACCAAATGTAGCTTAGTGCCTAGTATTATCGGTTTGCATTTCAGAGGTTAAGATTCGGTTTTTGTTCTGATGACTTGCTATCCTGGCCGAGGACTTTACCCCATTTCTATCAATCAGGTGCTGTGTTGGTGCATTAAAATGGGCCATGACCACTTCACATCCATTTCCAAATAATGATTCGCATCCTTACAAGTAATAATATGTAACAGGTGACTGAAAAAAGCCTCATTACACAAACCACTTAATAGATTTTGATTACATTTTATAAAACCGCAAAAAAAAAAATCGTATTGGTTTAAATTGGCCCACTCGCAACTTTATGTGAAGCAAAGTAATTTAAGATCACAGTTGTTAATTTATAAAATATGACAGTGAAAACTAATGTAATTTTGATATCAAGCTGGAGTTTAGAGACACTAAAACATCAAGAACGGTGTTCTTGCGCCATGCATTGGTAAAAGTTATCCCCTCGAGGCGGGGCCGACTCGAAAGCGCAGGTAGTCCATGCAGACTCTTGGGGGCGGCACATTTTAGGAGAAAGCCTCGTACTGACCTAGACTATCCGTTTGAGACATAAGAAGTGTGCCAAAAATGTTCTTCACGTTCGGCCGCAGATTATATTGCGCCGGCCGTGCCTCGGAGTGTTTGTGAGATATAACCCCTGCAGTTGAATAGATTCCATCCTCAATAAAAACAGTAGTCTCAAGATAGCAGTAATCGTCAATCAGTCTTTTCTAGAAGGATGTCCATGTATGTGTTCATTATTGTGTCGTACTCTACCCATTGACGTCACCAGCGCTTGGATTCGTGGACATCCTTTTATACATGTAATCAAGTTTTACGCAATTTCGGCCTAGGATAACAATGAATTTTTGCATGTTAACAGTTGTAGCAGGTCACAAGCGAGTGAAAAATCTTTTGTTTCAGTGTATCGTGTGTATTCTGTGGGTATTGATTATAGATTATATGTGCGTGTTATTGATGGAAGATGGCGTTGAACTGCAGCCTCTTATGGTCATTTGATAATATATAGGACTGGAAGGGAGTACGGAAGAAAGAAGGGGAATACTACGAAAGCTTACGTAAAAAGTTATGAGACTTCCAGTTGGATTTTTGATGGTTGTTACACTAGTGGTGTTTGATAAAAATGTATGTATGATAACCGATTATTCATCGTAATACTAGTGTCAAAAATAGGTAATTGTTTGCTTTATATTTTTATAAGCAGCCAAATAGATGACCTTGTAGATATTAGTTAACAATGAATATAGTATTTGAGTGGTATTTCGTATCTAATGCTTTAGCTGTGATGTGGGAAGGAAATAACCAATCGCCGATGAGAAAAATTGTATTTCTGCTTGTATTTTTGCAATTTTTATCGATTATGCCCGTAAGTAAACTTAATATACGTGTATGAGCGACATCCTTGTCGTCAGAAATAAAGTTGAGATAAAAGTAATGTATCGCGTGCAAAAAAAAAAAACAATTTTACTGAACCCAAATATGCTTAAATGTATATGCTCAATTATTTTGTGCGACGGTGAAATAACGAAGACGTAAACTCAAAGGAAGCACGTATAAATAATATTTAAACAGTAGCTGGAAAGAATGGTAAAATACATTCCTAGCAGTTATCAGTTGTTCCTGGATTACTTACTAACGTGAGTTCTTGAAAGATCTGGCGAAGACTCTGCCTCTGCTTTGCCTGCGTTCCCACCATTTTGGAAGGCGAGGTACTGTGTCTGTGTCTGCCCTCTATGCCGGCGTCCATATCCCCTCGTAGTGTAAGTCGTTTGGCGCTTTGCGCGGCCTTTGACCCGTTGCAATAAAGCATCTCCATATTGAAGGTGTGACAGCCAGAGAGCCGGCTCATCGGGTAACGCGTTGTTCCTAGTACCACTTGGGAAGTGAGGCCGCAGTTCTTGAAGGACGAATGTGAGGAATCCACGGCAGAACCCGGAGATTCTGGGCCCCGCTAGTCTCCACACCTTATCAAGAAGAAGAAAACATTTTGATAACGACCTCGGTTTACAGCACGAAACATATTAATTTTCATACGTAAATTCTAATAATTAGAACCAATTTCCTTCCTTAGGAAGAAAGTAGGCTTATGAAATTACAATGTTGTCTGTTTCACCTTTTGAATCAGCTGAGTGATGTTCATGAAATCTGGTATGGATATTATTCCATTACAGGCCACCCCAGCATCATACTTTTAATTTCCCATAATTGGAAATAAAAAGCGGACACCATTTGTATGGTGGCCACTTTCTTGTGGAAAGCACCCACATAATAATAATCTGTGGGCGCTATAGTTCATGAAAGACCTTGGCCTCTGTTTTACAGTTTTTTTATTCATTTAGAGAGTCCGTAGGACTTCTTGGGCACGGGATCAGCCCACCGGAAAGCCGCTATTTACACAGGCCAACACAAAGAGAATAAAGGCAAACATCTATGTCTTGAGTGGGATTCGAACCCAAGACCCCAGTGTTTGAGCGGGCGAAGACAGTTCATTCCTCAGACCGCTCTACCAGTGTGATCAGCGTAGCACCCACATGGTGGTCCAAATAAATGTTCTTGACCATTTGGAGAAGCGATTTATTCCGGTTTGTTTGATTTTGCTGCTAAATTTCTCCTAAAATGCAGTAATATGGGATCCCTGGGCCAAACAGAGACCTATCAGGACGACAGGACAACCTTTTACTGTAAACACGATTTCAATTCAGGAATGTAATACATATTATAGAAGTGTGGGAGGCGGTGGTAACGTGCTGTCAGCTTGTCCTCAGTTCACACCAACAAATGCCAGCAGTACTTCGAACTAAGATAAATTGAGAAGTTGTAGCTTGGATATGAGTACTCGAATTTCTCAGCCAGCTACAAGACTGAACAAACCGCCCAGAAAAAAAAATACATTATACCAGTTGTTATCGAACAATTGAAAAATATTTCTGTTCGTTTGCTAGTAAGTTTTAATTTTAGTATTCGTGAATGAAGCCAGATTAACAAGTAAGGATGGAAGGCGACCTTGATAATTGATGTGGAGCTGAATGAGATTAATGACCACAAGCCAAGGACCTTCCACTTGTACATGTCACTTCCCATCATGATAAGGCAAAGACCAGGCCAATTGACTCTGTTCGAAATCGAGTTGGCGGTGTCGCGAGCTAGTCTTTTTAAAGTAACGAATCAGGTGGGAACAAATTGTCTGCATTTTTATCTTCCATTACGAATGTTATTAACTTTACGGCCCATTTCTGTGTTTATTTCATATTCATTGATTTCTAATACCGATGCCCGCATTTCTTTCCCATTGTTTGCTGTACAGAACAATTTGCTTGCACTGTGACTTATCCGAATGCTATTCGAGAGATGTAAGTTTCGACTGCCGGTCGGTATACCGAGATATTTGCGTGGCTTTCTTCAGTCCTTCAAGCATCTGCCGGGATATTACCATAAATTGGGCCACGAACGCTTCAATTCGCTTTCTTTTAAGTTCATTGTTTACCAAAATCGGTTATTTCACACTGTGTATGTGGGCGTTACTGTCAGCTCCGTTAAATAAACTGCAAACAAACATTTCTTGTTGTAAAAACCTGAATCGTGTCGGTAATATTGTTCATGAAAGGCGAAGTAGTTGAGATTTGTAAAATAATGCAAGCAAGGTTTTGGAAATTTGAGCACTTCTGGGATGTTTAGGGCTGGAATTGGGTGGGGTGAGACGGTGTGTGGATATTAAGTACACGGAGGTACAAAATCTTGAACGACTTTCGGGTCATATGAAAGACGCTACACCTATTGGTTTCATAAAGATCGACTCTTAGTCTTCTGTAGTCAGACTTACGGCATTCTCTGGCAGAAGAGAAAGAAACATAGGGCTTCTAGGCAGTGTCCTCCAACTGAATGAATGCTAACATGGCTTATGCTAACCTATCCAGACGGGAACCCCACGACAAATATCATCTTGGTTGAGTTTCGAGAATTGCAACTTGGCATGAGGGAAATCCACGCTCCATATTTCGTGCTTAAAGGCATCTAAAGGAAGCGAATTATCTTCAAGTACAGTTACAGAGACCAGAAGCAGGTTCAGGCCTTACGTCTGTCCATCCAAATTTGTGATGTCAAGAGTGTCAGTACAGATTGTGTCTGTATACAGACTTGTTGAATCCGTCTTATGAAAGAAACATAATTGGCACATTAATGTAAAACAGAGAAGTATCTCAGTTTGTCATGACGTAGTCAATAATACCTTTTAATTTACGTTGTCTTCGTCATGAAATAATTCACTCAGTTTACTGCTTACGTATGCCGCCCACTGGTTCACTTTATTCTGCAGTGTTAGAAAATATGAGGAAATAACACGTGATCAGATTAAGGGTAATGAGAAGCGCATGCGCCGAGCTCGTTGATGTAGCAGTGACGCTCTGGAATTGTATTCGGGAGTAGCGCATGCGCCGAGCTCGCCGATGTACCGGTGACGCTCTGGAATTGTATTCGGGAGGTGCTCAGTTCGAATCTCAGCCGGGACACAGGCTATTGCGAATGAGGTTCTTCGCGGATTTCCTGAGTCCTTCCAGGAAAATCCTGGGATTAGGCCAAAACGGCCCCGCATACTTTCAGATCCTTCCTACTTCATCATTTATGTCGCCTTTCGCTTCTGTGTTAGTCTAGTCACTGACAGCTTCTGGAAGTGAAAGGCAAAACAAAGCTGTCCCTGACCAAAAGAAAGAAGAAAATAAGCTCAGAATAGGGTCTAATGGCGGGCTCCTGTGAGATTGCATGCTCCAGATTGCATAAGAGGCAAATAATGTTTGTGTAAATGAAGAAAGCAGTCTTCTGGGATTTGGCACCGNTATATTTTTTCTTCTACCCTGAAGATGGAGGCGATACGTTCCTCCGAAACGTCGGTTAACACCACATATACACGGTGCCAAATCCCAGAAGACTGCTTTCTTCATAGTCACCGCCGTGAAAGCCTCAAATCTTGCAATTTTTGTGTAATTAAGCTATTTTAGCTTCTGAAGAAGGACTATCCTTGACGGAGACATCTGAATTTACCCCCTCCAATGCAATTGCATACTTCTCATACTTACCTCATATTTGGACAAGCTGTTGTCCGGGACATACATCGTCCTTGTTTCGTCTTGCATCTTCGAAGACTGACTTTGTGACTGAATTTTTGTCAAGGTATGCTTGAGGCCACTTTCGGAGTCCTTCATTCGTTCCAGGTAACACTGCGACTTCTCCAGGTCCTTGTAGGCTATCATTTTCTGTAAATTCAGGATCACAGGAAACATGTCTGATTACTCTGTTAAGGGAACTGTATTTTTCCTCATTTGAACAGCCATTTCTGGGACGTGAACTCCAAATCAGAACAACGTGACAAAACTCACTAATTAGGTGACCATAAGCACACAATGTTTCCAACACAGTTCAATGAAGCATATGAAATTCTGTATAGTAATTTATATATATTTTGACATGACACCCAGAAAGAGAGAACGCGCGAGCAACATAGAGGAACTGTTGGAAGCGGTGTTTTCTATGCGATCTGTGCTGAAACTATACGAGTATAGAGAGAGCAATCGGGAAAAGTTAGTCATCGCAGTCTTAGACCACTTGAATCCCATCTTACACTGAATGGACGAAACATTCCATTTTTAAATAGTGTAAAATAGCTCGGTGTAATCTTCCATAAGAAAGTTACATGGAGATTAAGGCCGCGCCATAGCTCAAGCGGTCAGTCGCTGGCTTCCCACCGCGGCGGCCCGGGTTCAGTCCCGCGTCTGGTTAAGTGGGATTTATGGTGGACAAAGTGGCGCTGGGGCGGGTTTTCTCAGAGTACTTCGGTTTCCCCTACCAATCTTCATTTCATCAAATTCTCCATCATCATAATCACCCGGGGAAGGTACAATAGGCCAATCAGCGGCTGCGGTGCCGAGTGGACCCAGCTGGACTCCCCCCTCCCCCCAAGTGAACACATGGAGATTACGCATAGGAATGATCGGAGCCAACACATGCAGAACATTTATTACAATATTCCCTATTCAAAAGTGAGCGAGATATAAATGTCCAATAAATTTAATTGCCAATCCAAACCCAGTGTCTAGTCAGTAACACGTGACAATATTTTTACAAATGGCACATGAAATGTCGGTGGTATGCTGAGAAGAATCAGTATGATAGAAAATGAAACCTGCTGTAGGTTATGAAAAGCGTCGTATCAACTATGGAAGTAATTTAGCATATAATGATATTAGAAAATGATTATGTCTTGTGAACTAGAACGGAGCAAAGAATAGACGACTTTGGCTTATTTTCCAGCACCGGGTCACTGGACATCCCATCCGTAACCCAAGGTCAAACTGGAATACAAGACTGTTGCATTGTCACCACGCTGACTTACCGTATTTACGCATGTATAGGCCGCAGCACAATTTTCAGACAGAAATTATAGAAAAAAATAATTTTCTTGGAATATTATTTCAGGAGTAGAAATTATTCCGAAATAATTATGAATATAATTTTTTTTAAATGAAGTGTGATTTCGAATATAAGCCACACCCCAGTTTTCCTCTTGAATTTTTGGCAAAAAGTGTGCTGCCTATACATGCGTAAATACGGTATTTTGTAAGAACAAAACCTGAAGGTGTTGTGTAACTGTGAAGACATGTACAGGAGACGTGTCACGTGGACATTAAAATTGTTATTTCAGTTAACAGCGCTACAGTACGCGGAGGCACTATGATACAAGCCGGAATGTCGCGGGTTCAAGTCCCGATTAGGTCATTGGAATTTTTCAATTGACCTAATCCTTCCAGCCGCACTATGGCCCTGGGGTCGACTCAGCCTCTAACAGAAATGGTACCAGGAATATTCTTGGAATGTTCTGGAGGTAAAGGGCGGCCGGCACGTAAGGCTCACACCCTACCGCCATCTATGAGCCGATTGTCTAGAAAACCTCAACATCTCACAACCCTATGGACCTCCACGGCTTGTTACAGGGACACCTTTACTTTTTACCTATCATATAGTAATTCGTGTTTTATTCTTTCAGCTTTATTATGCGTTTCGTGTTAGTGTACATCAGCCTGAAACATGCTTGTTATTGCAACAGCTTCATGTGCTGCTACATGCTGTGAGTCTTCGCTTTGAATTACGCCTTTCATATTGTTCTACTTCAGACTGAAACACGTTAAGTGCAAGATGTTCCTGGACTCATGTATGTTATGTACTTTCTGTCTGAGCTACTGGTGTCATTTTATGCTTCAGTCTGAAACATTCAAGTTCGAAGGAAGCTTTTGAGCTCAAAGAAAGCACATGCGTGCCACAGAGGAAACTATAACCTAAACATCGCGTCGGGTTCAACAGATTGTTTGCTCGTTCTGGGTTAATGAGCGAGGTAGTGAACCGGGAAGTTCGGCCAGTGTCTTCCTGGTACGACATGAACATCTTATTTATTTGATTTCCCAGAACATTCAAGCATAGACTTTTTCTTTGTTTGCTAGCAGTGTGTGTACGGAACACTGCGGCAGACGTCTTGCCTTAATAAGGTTTAGAGTAGCTTTTGTTAACAAAAGGAGGTCATGGCCGGACTCATTTCTTCGTAATTTATGTAACAAAATTTTGAGCGTAAAATATTGCATAAAACATAGTATATTAACTGTTTACACCTGATGATGGTCAACAGAGGCCAAAACATGTAATGTGATGGCCATAATAAAACCGACTGACATACTCCTGTTACTAACTTACTTACTAATGGAGCTGAGCCCTTCTTGAGGAGCCGCCAATTCTGCAGCTACTCAAGAATTTTCCAGCATTTTATGGAACCCGAAAGTTCATTACCGTGTTCGTAAGAGCCCTCCACTGGTCCCTATCCTTAGCCAGATCAATCCAATCCATACCATCCCATCCTATCTCTCTGAGATCCATCTTAATATTGTCGACCCACCTACGCCTTGGTCTTCCCAGTGGTCTCCTTCCTTCTGGCTTTCGCAGCAATATCCTAGATGAATTCCTCTTCTCCCCCATCCGTGCTACATGCTCTGCCCACCTCATCCTCCTTGACTTGATCATTATAATTATATTTGGAGGAGAGTAAAAGTTATGCAGCTCCTCATTATGCAGTTTTCTCGAACCTCCCGTCACTTCTTGCTGCTTCTTGACCCGTGACCTTCAAAACACGAAACTGCTACTTTCTGCTCCAAAGAATAATAGTATAAATATGAAAATATATGTTTATGAAAGTAATTATTGTGTAAGAGGGATGATGTAATCTTAATTTTGAAATATTGATATATCTTAAATCCGAAGGGAAACGAATTCCGTCATTGAATCTGCATACATATATTTTTGTAGTTACAATAGGATTCTGACGATGGCGATTGGGTTTTCGAGCTTTATCCATCGTCCTGGTTTTTAAGATAACTAAGAAAAACACGACGTTTCGGAAACTGGATCACTGGATTGAGGCTAGCTCTTTCTAAGGGACCCAACAGAATAGGTGTTTTCCCTCACCTGAGGACGGAAACAGATCCAGTTTCCGAAACGTCGTGTTTTTCTTAGTTATCTTAAAAACCAGGACGATGAATAAAGTCCGAAAACCCAATATCTCTATATATTCTTGTGTTGCAATAACACTCGGAGTACACAAAGAGTTACAATTATACTGAGGCTTACCATCATCTCAGTATGTTTGGAATTAAAATTGGAAATACAAATCCCCACCAATACATCCTGCGTGTGTTGAGCCTCCAGGTTCTGCTACCGAAGTGTTAATTCATACATGTGCCTGGTCGCTGTTAGTAGGGCACAGCTCGCCTTCTTCACTGCTTCCGGCATCTGACAGAGTGTGTTAAACCGCGCTGAGTATCTTGTCTCCCATATTCTGATGAAGCGTACTGACTAGCCTTCAGCTCGTTTTTCTTTGTTCTTTTTATGTTCATATCAGATGATATCGTCCTTCTGCATACGTGGTATAAAATGGCAGTCGTTGTTCGTTATAAATCTCGCAAACAAATTAAGTATGTTGCTTGAGAGTAGTCATTAGGACAAAGACCTAATTGTATTCATCATGTGGAGAACACGGAAATATTATGTTCTTCATATTTTCCCGAGAAAACGGGCAAGGGATGACGTGAGAAACCGAGTTAAGTTTTTTTTTCTCCTTGGCACTACAGCCCCAGTGGGCCTAGGCCTACCTCCATGAACTCCGTTCACTTCGGTTTTTCCAGATCTTACACATACGGTAGGACTCCTTGGGCGGGTGGTCAGCTCGTCGCAAGGTCTCTAACTGTAGACAAACAGAAAAACGCACACAAACATCCATGCCCTGAGTGGGATTCAAACCCACGATCCCGGCTTCCGAGCGAGCGAAAACAGTGCATGCCTTAGACCGCTCGGCTACCGTGACCGGCTCCGAGTTAAGTTTACTGAGTTGGAAATCAGTCAGTTCCATAGAGCAGTAAGGGTAATGGATGCTGGTTCAATATGAAGTAACCCGGCAGATATGACTTCTTTGTGCAAATATACAAGCTGAAGATTCGAATTTCACTACTTTTCAGAGAAGACTGTCTTTGTCCTTGTGTTTACTGTAATGTTAGAGATCGCTAAAATGCAATGAATGAGATTAAAATTATATTTGTTTATTTATCCTTGATTGAATTGACTACGCTGTGATATCCCCGACTATGTGACGTGAAATTGTAGTGATTAATGGATCCGAAGGCTAAGGAACAAGAGGGTCATGGCCTAATCTGAGGTGCTATCCAGAATTTGCCTGGACGAACTGAGGAAACTCACGAAAATCCTTCATCAGGATAATCGGCCTCCGTGCCATGATTCATATTCGGGACCGTTTTAATTAAACTATAACAGAATAGCCTGATGGTAGCCATAATGTGTCACACAAGAGCCTACTCACCATGTCGTAATCATGTAAAGTTGTGTACTTCACAAATCTGACAGTATCTGGTGGCGTGGCCATGGTCAGGTCCCGTGTTTCGTCCAAGTTCACCTCAGCTGGGTGCTTGTACTGGAGCACTACATGCTGCAAACAAATTGTATATGCGATGAACAATTCCGCCGAAAAAGAAAAGAAGCATGATTGTCTCGGAGGTTTCTGTGACCGGGCTTTATACTTCGTATATCATTTTGAAGATCTGATAATTTGTATGCATGAAGAAGGAGCTACGAGCTTAACGTTATGGCTAATCTTACAGACTTGGTTGTTTGGATATGTTCAGGACTTCGTCCACTAGTGGGCTTCAATATTACGGTATTGACTTGATGGGTTTTGCTACAACGGAGTGAGTTAGCTATTTAGTTTTTCTCCAAGAATCGACGAAGAATCTTCACAAGAAAAATTAAGAGTGTTGGCTACACAGAGGTACACGGAAATGTAACTGAAATATATACATCTAAACTCTCTGGACAAATATTGATCTGATTGTGGGAGAGTTTCTGAGAATGAATATGAAGAGAATCACACGGAATTGAAATATTTTATAATGTATTACATTATGTAATATTATATATACTTTTACAACTTAATTAATGAGATTTTAAGAAGTTTCTTATTTCCCTACGAAATTGTTATTTAAAAATTATATTTCGGTGAAGTGAACTGATTACAGAAAAGCAAGATGTTAGAATGCCTGTATACAAGCGATTCAGCTGTTGCCATGTGGTTCCATCGTCCCTCGCTAAACCGTAGCTCTAAATTCCCATATTTTTTTCTTTTAATCGTTTTAGCCACGTCATTTTCCTGTAGTAAATGTTTGTCTTTACGCAACCCCAAACAGAAAAATCTAATGCAGTTACATTGGGCAGTGGGGATGGATTTTCTTCATACCTTTATAGCGCCTACTGAGAACAACAGTGTACTACGTGACTGTCTGCGAAGCGACACCTGTCCCACAACAGTCATTTTGAATAGCAGGTGCAATCTGCCAATTCTTGATATTAACACGCGACTAATAATGCGTTTGATGCATAAACTGTGGAGTAGTTACCGATATGAAGAAAGAAGTCTTCTGGGATTTGCACCGTGTATATATATGGTGTTAATCGACGTTTCGGAGGAACGTATCGCCTCCATCTTCAGGGTAGAAGGAGGCGATACGTTCCTCCGAAACGTCGGTTAACACCACATATACACTGTGCCAAATCCCAGAAGACTGCTTTCTTCATAGTCACCGCCGAGAAAGCCTCAGATCTTACATACTTACCGATACTTTCTCTCACAACGGATTTATTTGTGCAAATTTCATATGGTCTTATAAAATAGTATGTATAATGAATTTCACTTCAGTTCTTATTGGCGCATTGCACATGCTATTCTGCATACTGGGCTAACATAAACGAAATTACAGCTCATGTTAAAATCAGTACAGGTGAATGGTGTGAAGTCGGAAGCAGTATCGAACCTTTATCAGTCCACGAAAAATCGGGATGTATGAAGTCACTGATAAATTGGAATTTCTTAGACGAGTTTCCTTTTCTTGTACATTTGTGTCCTTGACCTGATTCATGTTCAGTCATGTGGAGAAAACTTTGGTCTGACTAACACTGTTCCATGATACCAGTAGATCCAAAAAAAGTCTTCTCTTTTTCTAGTCAAAATAAGCTGTAATGGTTTGCTTGGAATTAGCTGTGCACATTATGTCTCAGCTTATGCGCTTATGTGCTACATATGTGCCAAGCCAAGGATACAGATTTATTTCTCGACCTGAGATTCCAAAACTGTGCTCTAGAAGATGCGTCGCTGTGAAAAGGACGGAGAGTACGGCTCTGTTAGTATTGCCAAGATATGCAATTGCATTTCCGCAAAACCTGATTTATGCACCGGCATTCGTCACTGCCTCACGCTGAACTAATATTTACACAGTATTTCGCAAGAATATATCGTTTAAGCAAAGACTGGAACATTTTCACCAAAATAATTAATTTATTTTTGTGAATTTCTTTAGAAGCCTTATTTTTACGCAAAGAAAAACGTGGCGAACTTTATAAATACTTTCATTCCACGGTTTTGAAATGCAATGATTTATCTCCATTTAGATCTTTGATTATTTTACACATTTCAATAAGGTGCATATTTAACAGAAAATATAACAATTTTGTCGGAAAGCCTGAAGGAAAGATAAAATATTGAGGATAAAATATTAAAACGGAACTTAGAAAGTAAAATGTTAGGATGTAAAAATGACTGGACGAGGTTGTGATTCAGCGATGGGTTCTTATGAATGCGGTAATGGATCTTCCGGTTTCTTGACGCACTAAAGACTCCACTCTATGAAGTTTGTTCTTTAACGAAAAAAAAAATAAGTAAAATTACTAATTTATGCAGTATCTGTACTGTTGATATGCTCAGTCATCAGTGTATTTTTACGTTCAAGAATTGAATACAGAAACTTCGGGCCTTCAGAGAGCCATATATATTTCAGCTGTTCTTTGTGAAGCCAGTCATATATGTTTGTTCTCATACAATAGCTATAGAGACTTTCGTCAAAAGTTACGAAGATTTCGAGATGTTCGAGGATGCTCCAGCATGTATTCATTATTATTCAAACACATGACGAAACACGCTCGAAATCCCGGCCGGTAGCTTCGAATTCGGAAGGCTGCGGGTTTAAGTCTCTGTTTGTAGAGATAGATCTGCTGTCCTCACTGAGGTTTTTCAAGGGACCGTATCATCTCAAATTGGGCCACAACAATATCCTTCTAAATACCTTCCAATCCATTAATTTCTTATCATTCTGACATCCGGCGCTGAGTAAATAGAACTATTGAAAGCATCGTTGAATAAAACAAAAATAATATATGACGGACGGCAAAGATAATTTTAGCGTTTACCTTGGTAACACGAGCGGTGGCGAGGAATTCCCAGCAGAGGAGCACGACAGCCACCCTGGCGAGGTGCGACTTGGCCATGGCAGGGCGGTTGTCCTGAGCGCTGTTCGCAAGCGAGTGTCTGATCTCTCAAGTGAATGTTCTTCTCTAAGAACAGCTGACCCCCTCCCCCCTCCACCGTCACAACATGCTGCTTGTCTTCATCTCTGTATATAGCGATTTTCTTAATTTGTCATTTGAAACTCTTGGCAATGAATGAATAACGTTATTGTATTTACGTTCTTAGAATAGTGACCGAAATTGAAACAAGCAGTGGCTTGCTCCATGATAATTCGAAGAGAAAACTTTGGCAATATCCACATCTAGCGACGGGTTTCCCAGATATGCCATACATTAACACATTATATATATATAAAATAGCTTTTGAGGAACACTTTGAAATCACATTTTCAGTGAATATGCAAGTCATGAACTTGAAAATTTCTCGAAAGTAAGCTTGATGCAGTAATAATAATAATAATAATAATAATAATAATAATAATAATAATAATTATAATTCAATTCGTGTTTCTTTACGTGCAAAATTAACAGCACAGAGGCCAATTTCAAAGTTAGCACGAGTACATAGAAATACACAAAAATAATTAAAGAACAAAGTACAAAATATGACAGTCTATATAAGGACAATACGTTAATTAATTCCAAGAAACATTAAAGTTAGCACTAACAGACGAGAAAAATAAAATAAGTACATTTCCAATGGTTATGCCATTTGTGGCGAGAAGGGGCAGTACATGTACATACACACATGGAAGTGTGTATAATAATAATAATAACAACAAAAGCCTAAAGGAACCTTTTTCTGGCAAAGGTCGACACTGTAATTCCGACTAAAACACTCGTATATTCCTGCCATCTTCTAGTCTTATCGTAACTAATTGGCATTTGGTGTCCACGCAAACAGCAATCCGATAAAGATTGCCCTAGATTTTGAAGGGTTCTGGTGTATGACAGTCGGAATTACCGGGTTTTTAAATTTTATTCTTCGCCTGGTATTCGAGAGACTAGAAAACACAACGTTTCGGATACTGGGTCTGTTTCTATCCTCAGGTGAGAGGGAGACAACTACTCTGTTGGTTCCCTTAGAAAGAACTAACCTCCAGTGACTGAGGTTAGCTGTCTAAGGGACCCAACAGAGTAGTTGTCTCCCCCTGACCTGAGGATAGAAACAAATCCGGTTTCAGAAACATTGTGTTTTCTAGTCTCTCGAATACCGGACGATAGAAAAGTAAAAAAGAAAAACAGAAATTCTGAAACAATGTCCTGCTTAGACTATACGCAGGTGGGTAACTTTACTGAGGAAACTCCTTAACACAAATGGATATATGTGTTGTACGTATAATTATTCATTTATAGAGGTTGCTTTGTCACGAGTTACAGAAGCATTCGATAGCGGGTGCATTAAATTCTTGCTGAAATTACTTTTTGTATACTGACTCTTATATTGTAGTTATCAAAGGAGAGAGAGGCAGCTTATCGGTCCAAGAGAGAGAGAGAGCAATAACTTCAAGGCTGCGATGTTGAAAATTATCACTTTGAATTTGTTCTAAAATCCAATTCATGTCGCATATACTTGTGCGTGTGTTTGTGTATATGTAATGAATTTCATGACCAATATAAAAATAGATCATTTTAAGCTGTTAACTGACATGTGATAATCTGTACACTACAACAAAGGAATAGTGAGGTCTAACGTCTAACACCGGTGAAAAGCATTTTTCTTTCGAAGTTCTGAGGACTTGTGTGTGTGTGTGTGATGCAGGAAACAACATGAATAGACACAAGAATTTGATATATAAAGTTACTGTAATATTGTTCTCGTGAGAATCTGTTATCTCAGTGCAAGAAAGAAACAGAGGGATGTGGACTGTACAAGAACGGGACTTAAACTTCTGCTTCATGCAAGCGGTCTGCCTTTTATAGCGCCTGCCCACGCGTCCTGTGTGGAACAAAATTAAGTAGTTACATCATTGGTTTAGCTGGGAAGATAACAGTTCTACCCCAAGAAATACACAGCCAGGGTCAATTCAGAAGCAGTGACGTCAGCAGTCCATGACCTCTCCGAGGCCGAGGCTCGTGGTTTCACTTCACGCTTACAACTTGCCGAAACATTTAGTTTTGCCATCTGTAAATGCTTTGGCCTGCACAGTGCTGCTGTTTCTAATCTTGATGCACGGCCATCCTTGAGACTGAGAACGCCTTTCCGAACAGAGCATTTGAACAAGAGAGACGAAGAATTTCATCATCTGTGCCTTTCACTAAATATTGTTAGGGTTAAGTCAGATGGGTGGGACATGAAGCATGAACGGATGATGTCAAATATTTACAAAATAATTGTAAGATATATTGTACAATTTAGAGCAGATTGCACATAAACAGTTCTAATGTAAAAGCTGAATTTGTAAGTGAGTTTATAATTACCTCATGTCTGTATATATTGTGCACTGAGACGAAGATGCATGTAGCACTAGAAATTGACCGGTTAATAAATAATATACATTGATGTTCTAAAGTCAGGTTTTCAGAAAAAAAGATCGAAGTATCCATCAGCAGATCTGTATGATAAACCTGAATTTCTGAGGCTTACCGCTGCAGTAATAATTCGTGGTTCAATGTTTCTTAAAAAATCCGGGTGATATTCTCGCCTATTTATGTTTCCTCTTTTGGTAAAACAATGTAACTGAATCAAGATTCGAAGTGTCTGGAATGAACTTGGTTCTGTAATTAAATCTCAGCTATGCAGGAAAACCGAAATAAAGACAATTCGTGTCAGATGGTGACTTTACGGGCGCAGGCCAGGCCGTAATATCACGGCTACTCTGTAAGAGTCCGGAATTGACATTTGCGCCTGACATCAGTATGACTTACTTGCAAGGTCTGATTAAAAGTTTCCATGGATACTGGAACAAATAGTGTACTGTATAAAATTGTAATAATTTGTTTTTATATTTTTAATGAACACCTCCATAATGCATGACTTTCTTAATGAGCTAAGAATTATCACTTCATCAAATTTCTTATCATAACTAGCTGTAATTTAATATTTTCTTTCAAGCATAGTCTGTAATGATCACACTACGCCCTGTTACTCTAATTTCTAACATTATTATTGAGGTTTCTTTGTCTCTACGTTTATTTGTTATTCCCTTTAAATTTGTAGTGAAGTTTACCATTAGATAGCAAATTGAACAGTCCAGGAACATATATGTTGGCCAGGTGTACACAAATTGTGAATTTATTTAAACTGTAACAGAAGGACTCATTAATGGCATATTTCACTACGAACAGAATAAACATGGGTGACACTATATTATCTTAAAATTCATTTTATTATATTATCTACAATATAGGAATATAAACATTTAGAAACAGTGTATTTCATAAATATAATACGTAACAATATACATTTTCTATTCTACGTGCACTGAAAGTCCTGGAATATTATTATTTTGCTTTTCTTAGCTATCATAATCTAGAATACAATCTAATAATCGTGTTCAAAAATATTGTGGGAATGATACTTTGATAATTTACAAATTATTTGACAGAAAAAATCATTGCAATGCAGAATTTGCAGCCTTAGAAATATTTGTGAGTTAGTGCCATGTTGGCTAAATTTGTCAAGCAGACTTCTTCATATTCTACACTTCATCAAAAGCTGCTCCTCTTGGAAGTACGGAACATTTCTCCGTTAAGATATGAATATAACTTTCATAAACTATTGCTATGACTACATATGTATTTAAAAAACATTGTATTTAAATGTCAGATTGAAATAGGTTGTTTCCTCAGTCTCTCATTGTGACTCGCCGTCAGCATTTACCACACATCATACAGTACTGTAAGATGGGTTGCCTGAGCGCAGGAGACTAGTGCAATGGTAAGTTGCGTTTCTTCAAGTTCCTTTTAATTATAAGTTCCTACTTATGGACAAAGTGTCCTATTGCTGATGCTGTCGAACACGATACGTGTTCTCTGTAGACACACAACTGATTTCTTACACAGTTTATCTTTAATTATTTTTAGGCTGTCTGGATTGTAGGTTGTCGTTAAAACTATGCGCCAAGAAGAAAGAATCATTGCGACTGCACACAGAATGAGGCATGAGTCTGTCTGTTGGGAATGGGAGAGATACACAATGTTATGGACTTTCCGAACAATTTTACGACTCTGGTCAAAAATACATCAGATTGCTGTCGTGCAAGCATTTAATTCCAATGTAGGCAGCGCGATAATGTACCTGAAATGGGCATGGAAACTGAATGAACTTTGCACTTCAAATACTATTACAAATGATAGTTAATAGGCATTTGTTCGGTGAACTTTATAGGCCCACTAGGCAATTTATGTATTAAATGTAATGTTAGTAAACGTGAAGCAATGCAGAGACCCGGAAGAGCAAGAACGGATATTTAGAAGAAAATTTCAGACAGTAGGTAATTTATGACTCACATTAATTCAAACGTGTGCTGTTCGCGATATTGATATCATAGGGTGATCAAAATATCGCTTCAATTTTTATCATATTACAATTACCGTTCAATGTGCAAGTAAAGGAAGTTATGGAAATAAAGTTATTGTAACATTTTTAATAAGACGAAATTATTTCAGCATCTATTTTAAAGAGAAAGACATACAAAATGATTGCACAGTCGGCAAACATGCCTATAATACACATCCATTTATTATTTAAGTAACATAAGTTTTCCAGTAATGTCTCAAAAATTTACATTTATTTTCTTCGTATAATATAGAGTCAGGGCTATGATCCTATAAATGCAAAGGACCTAAGAGGTGACGACAGGTAATACCGCACAATCTTTATCAGATCCTAATAATCAACATTAGAACTGAACAAAATTTTTGAAAGGGATGCAGGTTTACAACCTTTTATGGTAAAGCTCAGAAAAGTTGAAACACTTCGCAACAACGTATATTATTTACATGTGACAGAACACAATAATATTACGTAATTGTAAGACGCTTTTCTGACTCCAGTCACTATTACTGAAACTTTATAATTTGTGAAAAGGGAGCAGGGACATAAATACTAATTAGAATATTGATGTGCACACATGGAAGTTTACAAAGATCTTTTAGATCAGAGAAGTGTTTTTCGTGTAAATTTTAAGAGTATTTTGGATATTAGAATTGCTTAAATTCTACTTTGAAACAGGCAGTGAATTAATATCTCTTTTGAAGAAAGTCGTCTTCTGGGATCTGGCGCCGTGAAAACCTCAAAACTTACATAATATCTCTTTTGTTTAAAACATCAAGCAATCTTGAAGAAAACAAATTAGGTTTAATTGAATGAAAATTTAACTATTATTAAATAAAAAATAAAAAAGCAAACACAACTAAACATAACCTAACTAAACATTTTGTTTTAAAGAGACACGAAGAGAATATATAGAAACGTGACTAGGATACGTGTAATTATGACAACCACCAGACATATTGGATATGGAGGCGAAATAAACATACACTTATGGGTTAAAACAAACTAGTCTTTGTTAAAAAATAAAAAAAAACAGAACTGTACAAATCAACACAAAATCAAAATATTACATGAAACTAAAATATTAAGTACAGGCAAATTCAACCCTCGCTTTTGTCGTAAGAATAGAAACTCAGAGTACTAGCTCCTGGGAGTTACGTTCAAGTAACGTAACTCAACAGTTACTGTGACATCCTGGGTACCAGATAGAACATCCTCGAGTTGTTACTGAGGAGAAGAGGGTATGGCTTTTATCTCGAATCAACTACGACGTGCTTTTGGATGGGCGTTATGCACACACACACATATATATATATATATACACGAACATTACTGCATGCAGAATATGATGACCAGAAAATAAAGAATTATGAGTTTTCTGTACAAGTAGCTCAAACGGAAACACCGACGTTGCGGCAATGGTAACATATAGTTAAAATTGGCAGTATCAGATACTGGCCAATGAGAGGAATTTGGTATACGCGATGTCTCGGGTCTTGGCTGTACTGCAATCCTCAGGATATCCTACGAGAAAGGTTGAATAAAGTAAAGGGTCGCATTAACATAATCTACAGTCTTTTTAATATCGACTGGAATGATCCAGCATTAAAGCGATTAGATTCAATATCTATTTTTCAATAGAAAAAAGGGATCTGTTAACTTAAGAGTTTTTCAAATCATCAAATGTTTTTACTTAAAAATGTCATTTTCTAACCTATGGCCTTTAATTTTGTCTGCCACTGCTTTTACGACTCTTCTTCTTTTTCTTGACGTAATTAAAAATTTCAGCAATCGAATTGTGATTGAGAATTGGAATCTGCAGCACATAAAACGCTGCACTATTAAGCAGCACAAACAATGGCTTTCGAAATAGTTATGCTTCCATAGAGCGCATTTATAATGCATGTAAATAGTTCTGAAGCCGTCAGGGCAGATCTCAGCATCAAGTGAGAGCAAGAAACAGAATTGATTGCCCTAAAAATGTAGCACGTTTATCCTCATGTATGGACTGGAGCACTTTACATCAGTATGTTAATTTTAACAATATCTCAAAGAAGGCTACTATTTACAGAGTGAGGTAGAACACCATGTGGCACGAAATAACAGTAAAGTGATTACAGTTGCCACTGTGCTTAATTAAACATAATTAATTAGGATGTATTGGGGAGCGGTGACACAGCTCAACGCAGATTTAGCCGCATCACAAGATGCAGCTTCCTCCCCGGCCAATTTGCTCTCGCGGGAAGAGTGGGGGGGGGTCCCAGAGCTGTTCAGGACTCTGTGAAGGAGAGTAAACTCTATTGCTACTGCCTGGACTCGAACCTTGACCATTCAGCCAGTAATCTAGTTCCTACATTCCCTGAGCTATTCTCATCCCCTTAGGATGATATACCAAAATTTACTTTAATTATGTGTTTTCATAATTCATATCTGTCAAAACTAAATAATGTATAGGCACGAAAAAAGTTAGCTCGCCCATAAGGCGCTGTAGAACCTGATGCTGAAGGGAATATTTGATGCTAATGGAGACGAAGTATCATACAGATTGAGAAAATAGCATAAGAACTTCTAAATCTGTACCCCTCTCCAGATAGGAGTACTATTAGAATGATGAGATGGGCGAGACTTGCAGCATGTATTGGGGATATCATAAATGGACACAAAAATGTAACCGGAATACTTGAAGATGAGAAACCACTTTGGAAGCATAAGCATGTATGGGAGTATAATATTAAAATGCATCCCTAATCAATGGTGTTTGAAAGTAAATGAATTAAACTAGTTCAACACAGAGATCAATTGTGGTCTCTTTTGAATATTGTTACAAACTTGTAGGTTATATAAACGTTCGGTAATTATTTGCCTAGCTGAGCGATCATCAGTTTATCATGAAAGACTCTGCGCTCTATGGAACCAAACCTCCCTAATCACCCTCGTCTGTCTGTGTACCAGTCACTGAGCAGTAGAAAGCGCTTCTATTTCGACGCGATGGAACTGAGATGCCGATATTACGACTAGGTTTATACTCGTCCATTTATAATAAATTAAAACTATTGTGCTTTGGGACATTATCCAGCGTCCTGTTTTCTATTCAAAATAACGTTTCTGAGACTGGATTATCTCTCCGTCCTCAGGTAAAAACCTACGCAGTTGGGTCCAATCGGTATATCTACTCCCTATCTCCCTAAATCGTCGCAAAGTTTTGGCTATTATTTACAAGAAATTAATTTGTTATGTTAGTTTCGTGTGCAACTCTGGTCTTCAACATTCTTAAGCGCTCATGTAAACCCATTTCCTACTCCTGTCGGAAACTTGCTCTACGTCCTTATGGTGGACTATATTTAAACCCCCGGATTTGCACACACATGTGCACCCTTCCAAAAGAGTGGATCCCCATTCTCTATTATTAGTTTCTATGGCGGACATGACGTTGGGCAGGGGTGTGGGTTCGTAAGTTCCGTGGCTCTTAGGAAGAACTGTGCAGAAATACATGAATCTGGATGTATCTTCAGCTAATGCTTGAAAGGCGGTCTAACACTCATGTACTCCTGTCTCGCTAGATGCTATCATCTTGTGGCTTTCCGGAAAGTTGTCATGCAGTCAACGCTTAAACATTGCAAATAACCTTTGTCCTACTGTCATGCTCTTCTCCTTTACCCTCACCAAAAAGTGTTATTTTTTCTTTTTGAAAATATTTTGCAAAATTGTACTAACATTCGACGTTACACACAACCGAGGAATTTGAAACAGCGTCGTGAAATAATTGAAGAATCGATCGATTAATGTAAGCTGTTGGTGTTAACACCGAAATATATTTGAATGTAAGTATGTAGTAACTGCTTAAGTGGGGACAAATAACTTGTTTATATAGGGAACTTAAACAGGAGCTTCTTTGACAGCCCTGGACACGTTGTGAGGGCCCTTGCAATGCGTCACAGGTTCAGACACATCTATCGCTCACCCTGACAGAGGTCCACGCTCAGTGGCTTATGAACATATTTTGGGGGCGGCAATTGACCACAGCGCATTACAGGGGTGGATAAAACGAATTCTACTTCGAACCCATATGTGAATTGCTCTGCCCTATTTCATCTCTGTCTCTCTCTCTCTTTCCCGTTGTCCCCACCTGGACCAGAGGGCATCCCTGAAACATTTTGTTTCACTTCAGTTTCTTAATCCTATACACAATTGGTAAGACTCCTTGAACGAGGGATCAGCCTGTCGCAAGGCCGCTACCTACACGGGACAGCACAAACACAGAATGAAGGCGAACATCCATGCCTTGGGTTGGATTCGAACCCACGATTCCAGTTTTCGGGCGGACGAAGAAGGTTCCTGCCTTAGACCTCGCGGCCACTGTGATCGGCTATCCTGTTACGTACTTGGTTTAAAATCTTAGTAAGTAGATCAGCTTTCCTGGCTGAGGGTTTTAGTGTGTTTCCTTAATCCCCTTGGCAAAATGATGAGATGACTCTTTAAGTAGGCCACAGCCAATTTCTTTCATATTGTTTACAATTCTTCACTCCCATGAGCCCTCCACTTGACGGTACGTATCTACATAGCCTGACAAGTGTTCTTAACTGCACCAAGAATCAGTATAGCAAGAATTGTGGGATCAGTCTATTTTGAAACTGATACTCTTGGGGATAAAAACACTTTTATTCTAGTGAATTTGAATGTTTATGAAGTCCATAGTCCAGGGAACCGGAAGGCAGTACACACGTGTACATTCTTTAGAGCGACATTTTTTATAAGACACCTTAATTGTGAATTCTTAAATCCCGTAAATTTTCTGCCATTTCTATTTCACATTACGCTCAGAATTTAATTTACGGAAGATAAATGCATAATTTTTAACATGTTCAGTATCCTCTTTTCGTTCCACAGTTTTGTAACTCTAAATTTCTGGGTCCCAATATTTCGTACACTCCTTCTGAATAAGATGTGTAAATAAGTTCTGCCACTTCAATTTTAACAATTGTTATAATTATTTTAAAATTTAATTTTTTATAGTCCTTGGAGATAAAATGAGTAATCTATAGCTGGGAATAAATTCCCTTTCTGAAACATTTCTCTCTCAGAGGTCTACCCCCTACTTGGCTCTCCGCGGCACCAGAGTAGCACACCGCATCGTGAAAATTATAAATAACATAGCAGATACTGTGTAAAGCAACAGATTCATCGACTGCTCATCTGCACCAAGTATTTCGGTGGGCAAGGGAGATGCTGTTATTGTATTCTACAAACATTTCAGCGTCTATTTCATAAATGAGTTTCCTTATCACCAGAAAACAGAAGATTCAACCTGAATAAATCAAAGCCAGGGAAAGTCAAGAATTATAACGGAAACATGTTTTAAAACATAACATTATTTGCTTCAGGTTATGAGTTTCTGAGTCATGACACCGTGCAGTCTCGTAGTACAAAACAGTTACGGAAAACCTGCTGTCTCCATGTTCAGTGTAGAAGTAATTGAGACGGCAGGTCTCTCAGAACCCTTTGTCAACTTCCTACAAAACTGAAAGTTATCAGAGACTTTCATCTCCGTGAAAACGATCAAAGTCTCACCAAGACAGCTACTTTTTTGAGCAGAACTTCACCAGGAATACCAGAAAATGAAGCTGCTTATATATTCTTACATATCCGGAAATTCTCCGAAATGTTTGTGTTACTTCCTACAAAACTAAGAATGTCACCGACCAGGACACCAAATGCTAAATTTTCACCACCTTGAAAACCATCAAAGTCTCAACAAGACACTGTTGTTTTGGGCAGAGCTTCATTGGAAATATCAAGACACGAAGGTGCCCAGTGCTACATTCTTACAGTTCAAATTATTGTGCTCAGTAATCCGTGTCTGTTACGTGTTTGCTAAAACTTGATACCTAATATACAAAATGTATAAAACGAAAATTGGTGTGAATTAAATAATCTTCTAGGCACGCCTGAAGAACTCACAGAACAAAGCATGAATATTAGCTGCCTAAAGAAGGACTTTGTTTTGACATTCACTCTAACATCTAGCACAAGAAGTTACGTGTCATTCGTTGGCACATTTCCAACTCACTAAAGGCACATTGGTGAGAATAGCTCCCAGGGTATAGTTCTATGGCTGAAAGCCTTTTTATGCGTCTATATATGTATAAAGTCACAATGGAAAATATTGAGAAATATCATCACAATCATATAAAAATATTAATTCTATTTTACACCATTTTCTCATCACGTATTCAGAGGAAAAAGCACACACATTTATGGTCCCATCATCAGGAAATTATTTGCATTTAAACACAGCGATAGGTGTATTCTAACTGTAGACATATATCTAACTCTCCTCTAAATAACCATTGAATTGTCTAGAGAAATTCTCTAAAATAATGTTCCATAAGTTCGATGGACATTGACGAATTTTTCGACAGGCGTTTCTCAACCACAGAGAAGACATAGTACAATGCCCCATAATAGAGGCCAGATATTAAGATGCATGTCATGTATCATGAAATATGTACATATGATATTATTTTTAGCTCATTTCCAGGCATTTTTTCCTGCGAATTTAACTTCGGTATATGCCAACTCTATCAGTAAAACTGCAACGATTTTCCCTCGGTTCATTTTCATGGTTCTTCAATTTATACGTTCCTTATGCTCTTAACCGTCTATAATTTGTTTCATGTTAGTCACTGCATATTTCCGGCGAGTACTGATGCCGCTGTTAGGTATTTTTTTCATTCTCTATTAATTATATTTCTAGTTGTACACGGAATTAATTATTTCCATTTTCTGCTCTTGATATAAACGTGCTTACCTTGTACGTCTAATATTTTAACAATTTAATATTTGTACGCGCATGTCGTAATAGTGCATCAGAATTAATATTATATAAAACACTGACATCACAAGTCACCGGAGGAAAGAACAAAATCAAAAGTGTTACTTCCCTACACTTTTGGTGTGGATGCCTGTCGGGACAGCCAACACATGGAAGTATCTACTGAAGAGTAATCATGCAGCGTCCATTGGCAGACAAGTTTCAGTTCTGATAGAACATAATGATCTCCTTATAAGACAAGTAAGAAGTGTTTTATAAAGGTAGAGTTAGAATATAATTGAATTGTAGGTTCAGAATAGGGCATAATTATTAATTCTTGTGCAATTGATTAATCTGGATGATGAGAACAAATTAACTCGTAACAAATAAGTGCAGACGGTATGAATTGAACACGAAATTATTACAAAATGTGTTAATCTCCTGAATATTGCTTGAGTGTTTGCCGAAATATGGAGTAATTAACGCAAATCCTTAATTTTAAACGGTTAACAGCATATCGCTAATGAACATGACAGTCTCTCTTGATCTAGGTAGCGCCACATGTAAATGTGTTTCAATTTATAAGAGTTCTGCCTTCGGTTATCCTACTGTGTTTCCTTTGCATCTAAAGAGAACCCTTAAAACTGAAGTCCAATTGTCTTCCATCTGTAACGGTGGCTGGTAATGAAGCAGAGTGCACTTCTTCAGACGGTGATGGCGATGCCAAGGACTCTCCCTGGGAGAGGCACGGATAGTGTAGGCGAAGGCAGCGGTTTTGTTGAGGCACTGTGAAGTCTCATGCAGGAGGATTCTTCATGCTTGTACAGGTAGGATTTCAGCGCGAACGCCTTCCCGCACCGACCACACACGTGTGGCTTGGTATGAGAGTGTGTCTGCACATGCGCACGCAGGTTCGACTTGTCGGCGAATGCTTTTGTGCAAATAGAGCACTTGAATGGCTTCTCCCCTGAAAGATGAAAACTCATTTAGGGTTTTGTTACTGCTATCGGAACATAATTACGGATGTTTTGGATATCATCATCGTCATCTCCAGCCGCTAGTAAAGAGAGTGGCCTAGAAGTTAACTCAAAGAAAATTAAATAGCTCTAAATATTAATGTCTCTCCACAAGATTTAAATCAAAATGAATTACACTGCAGTACAATCATTCGAAAGCATGGTAGATTTTAAATATTTGAGAAATGCTAGTGATAAATCAAAATTACATTCACACACATATGTTAAATTGGAGAAGAGCTTGCTACCATTTGGTTCTGAATATTTTGCCCTCGCTTCTGCTGCCTAGAAACGAAAATATTGAAATATACAACACTGTAATCTAAGAAGGTGACCGTCGACACAGCAAAAGAGGGATCGCATTCAAAGGAAGACAATCTCACTTATTTAGTTCACACATATAACTTGTGCTACCTGTTTCGACCTACGTATAGGTCATCATCAGACATCAAGTTCCTCGTTAAACTGCTTATCTCAATACCGATCCGTATTTTAAGATATTATCGAATATCTTGATAGAATAACAACAGGTTTTATCGTTCTGTTAAAACCTATATAAAGTGTAAATTTATGGGCTTTAAAAGTTATAGACAGGTTTGTTAGACAAATTTATATGATTGTCAGTAGTTAAAACGTTTACTTAAAACAGTTAAGATGGTGTGGCTTTCTGCTATTATGATGTATAGTATATAGCAATTTGGATGATGTCATCTTATGTAATCTTTGTTGTCGGTTGGTGTTCTTCAGTGCTTCTCGGTGATCGTGTGCTGAAATATTGGTGGGGGTGTTCTTATTGGCCTCTCTGTGGTTATTCTACTGCGAATAACCGTTGTGATCGTAATCCACCTATTCAATGCGGTGGATTTTACAAACGCAGCAGGATACAATCAATAAAGTTTACAACACTATAATTTTTCCCGTTGCTTTGTACGGACGTGAAACTTCGCCTCATAAACTAAAGGAGGAACACGAAATGTGGATATTTGACGAAAGAGTGGCGAAGACGGTGGTTATAATTACGTAAGGAAGGGATTTATAATTTGCACTCTACAAAAATATTGGAATATTCGGTTTATTAACTGAAGGCAAATGAAAGCATGTAGCTCTATGCGGGACAGATGAACATGTATACAAAAGTTTGGATAGTAAGTCTTCAGGGAGGAGACAGCTTGGAAATGAGCATCTTCTCTTAGGGAAAGTAAGTTCATGTATTATTCAGCTTGCTGTAGATACTACAAATCTGGCCGATCCTTGCTAAGTTGCTGATGCATTTGCTAAACTTTGGAAATCGTACTTGGAAACAAAGCTTCTCCTAATCACATTTTATATTGGTATCTTCTGAAGCACTAAATTATTGCTTATATTCTATATATGTGTATGAGTATATGTATATTGTCACGTGTATGGAGTCATGCGTGACGAAAATGACCGCTTCTAGATCGGATGATTGAATTTATTAGCACTTCTAACAAGTTCTCTTAATTACAATTAATACAGCGCTTTCGCTAATTTACGCAATTTCCAGTTCACCGATGCCTACGCACTAGGATTCTCTGTCTTCACTAGTCGTCTCCTGGCGACAGATCTCAACACAGAAACTAGCGCTTCAAATCACCATGAAGTCTTCTTGCCACTTCTTGTTCAATCACCCTGGAACCTCGAAACTCAGCTAAAATCTCTTCTGGACTCTGCACTCGACTAATCTTCAAATTTCACTAAGGACAGGCTCCATGCTCGTCCTTGTGCTCTCAAGTGCGCCTAGTATCTGAATTCATTTCTATAAGAACTCTGCACAGACCCAACTGAAAATACATTCCGTATTGTTGATGACGTCACCGCATTGCTTAGCACGGTCCGATACGCGGAAATGTGTTTACCGAACCTTTACCTAGAAACGGATTGCATAAACTTGTTGTTCTATTGTTGCGCTCGTGCATTACTTAGCAACGGCTGTTTCTGTCGCTCAGCAGTTCTTGCAAGGAGTAAATATCTCACAATTTATTTATATTTATATAGAGTCGGGATAGCGCAGTCAGTATAGCGACTGGCCACGGGCTGGAGGTGAGGAACCGGGATAACGCAGTCGGTATAGAGACTGGGTACGGGCTGGACGTGAGAAGCCGGGATAGCGCAGTCAGTATAGGGACTGGCTACAGGCTGGACTTGAGGACCCGGGATAGCTCAGTCAGTATAGGGACTGGCTACAGGCTGGACTTGAGGACCCGGGATAGCTCAGTCAGTATAGCGACTGGCTTCGGGCTGGACAACCGAGGAGCCGGGATATCTCAGTCAGTATAGCGACTGGCTACGGGCTGGACAACTGAGGGGTCGGACTTCTAGCCCAAGTAGAATCAAGAATTTTCTCTTCTCCACGCCGTCCAGACCTGTTCTGCGACTTACCCAGCCTCCTATGCAATTGTTACCGGGGGCTCTTCCTCCGGCGTTAAAGCAGCCGGGGTGTGAAGTTGACCACGCTCTTGCAACTAGTGCCGAGGTCAAGAAAATATGGCTCTATACATTCACTCCCCCATACTCCTTCATGACTTAGTACTTAATTAGTTAAGTTTCTCACTGCATAATAGTTGGCGTGATTGTATTTATTGAATCCTTGTTTCTGTCTAAACGATTCAAGTTGCCTTGTTCCTCTTTTGTTTGTGTCCTGTTTGTTATGTTTGCTTTATAGCTGGCCTTTGTATGTAGAGTAAAAAGACAAAGTCGTTCCTTTGCTTAAGTAATTAAAAACTACGCCATGAAGGCGTATGGAGGGAGTGGATATATAGCTGCACATTTCTTTGACCTCGAAGCTGGCTCGAGACGAGTGGTCAGCTTCTCGCCACAGCCGCTTTACCCCCTAGGAAAGAGCCCCTGGTACCCATTGGATAGGAGGTTTGATGAAACCCAGAGCCCATCAGGACGACGTGGAGAACAGAAAATTCTTGATCTTACCGGGACTCGGACTCCGACCTTTCGGTCGTCCAGTCCGTTGCCAGTCGCTATACCGACTACGCTATAGAATAAACACTATATAAATAAGAACTGAGTACAATTTAATTGTACTTAATTTGATGCTATGTCACTGAATAACAAAGAATCAGTCAATTAATTGAGTTCTTGACAATTACCTTTAACCAACCAATTTAATGTAAAACCGGACACTTTTGAGAAAAGCTATAGGGTCCTTGTTGCATTCTGATTGCCCCTTACTATACATCTCTATATACGTGTTGTCTGAATGAAACTCTATTGGCTGTCTGGCATGGGGAAAACCCCGAAACTGATCTCCAATGACGAATAAGGATAGACAGGACAAAAGCAGTCATATTATAGTTTGAAATACCATCACGCATTCTCTCGTATGTGAGAGAACAGCATCAACGCGTGCAAGGAATATACGTGAGAAATATCATTTGTAACATGTACATTCTCAGTCTATTCTTAAGCACGGGTCGAATTTTAGGTCTATCTTACGAAGTATGGTACTGCGTGAAACTGGTTTTCGTGTCGCTGTCAGCACGGAGTTGGTTCACCGTGCCGTTTAAATATAGATTCCTCAATATAAGGCACATTCATCTGCATCGCCAGCGAAATTTATTCCCTTGTGATCTACGAACTGAGCTTTCAGAGAGAAATACCTGTGTGAGTTCGAATATGTCCTTGGAGGAGCCAGGGCCGGGAGAAGCACTTTCCACAGTAGGGACATTTGCAGCCCTGGTTATGAGTCCTCACGTGCATCGAGAAGGCAGGCATGGACACATACACTTTGTCGCAGTGGGGACAGCGTCGGGCCTTCTTGTCCCCCAGCGACCGGTGCGTTTGGCGGTGTCTGGCTAGGTTGCTTGATGTGCTGTAGCGCTTCCCACAGTCCGGACAGCCGTGTGCCTCGCTCTGAAATGAAAGCTGTCACTTAGAATCATTACTTTTGAAATTAGCTTCAGGGTTGCACATTCCAGTTTCATTTTCCAAACTCACATCAAAATAATCAGTTTTATTTCGATACCATTGTTCATTGTCACTGCTGATCAATTCTTCCAACCACAGTATGGCCCTGGGTACGACTCAACCTCTAACAGATGTGAGTACCAGGAATCTTCCTGGGGGGTAAAGGGCTGTCGGCCTGTAAGACTGACAACCTTACCGCCATCAATGAGCCGATTGTCTAGAAAATCTGAGAACCTCGACCTCTCAGAACTCTATGTGCCTTCATGGCCTGTTACAGGGATAGCTTTTTGCCTTTTCCTGCTTTACATTATTAATTTACCTACCAGTACTACCTTAATGCAATCAAATGCAAATACAATGCTACAAGCTGGAAGGTCGCGGTCTCGATTACCAATGTGACATTGGATTTTTCAATTGACCTAACCCTTCCAGCCGCATTATGGTCCTGAGGTCGACACAGCCTCTAAAAGGAATGAATACCGGGAATCTTCCTGGGGGTTTAAAGCGCGGCTGGCGCATAGGACTGACAACCTCACCGCCACCTGTGAGCCGATTTTCTAGAAAACGTGGGACTGTCGACGTCTCACAAAAATATGAGCCTCCACGGCCTGTAACAGGGGTAGATTAATATTAGATTTATTGTCTTTTGTTTTTTTATTTTTTGCTGCGCGACGTCCACAAATAGAGTTTATAACTAGGAGGTCATGATCACCCATTCCATCGCTTCATCTCCAGAGCATTATTATAGTTATATGAAATTTTGTGTGTGGAGAAATTGTACTGAAACCGGACAAATGAGCCCATTATAGTCCATAATTATCTGCGTTTTATTCGCACATTACACCAAAGTATCTCATCGTATAAAAAGTGTATATGCTGCACAAATATGGAGATCAATATCTGTAAACTTATATTCGTACTTTGTACATTTTAAAGAATGACTTTATATAACTCTGCACCATAAATATCTATATGTTCAGTTTCCCTTGTCAACAAGAGAATATATGGCTGAAATGCAACACCTCCGCAGTCTCAGCAATACGTGTGTATTTGCAAAAAAAAAAAAGATCTATGAAAAATAAAAATTAGGGAGGAAATCATGTGGAAATTCTGTGCGTACCAAACTTAACTAGGACCACAGCAGGAGGGAAATCCAGTGAGCACTTTGTTGTAGAGGTAACAATCTCGAATTTTATTCCGTAGATACTGGTCAGAATTCATTTGGTTGTCTCCGAAGTTTGCAAAAGAATGGTGGTACTGTACACTGAAGTAAGCTAAGACCACTTCCTTCTATATCGCTGTATACTCATCATTCGAGATTTATTTCATACGACACTACATAACCTCTACACTTGAAACAGCATCGTCAGATAATCTGTGAATCGCTCAGCGTACCTCTGTCCCTCCTTCAGGAGGCCTCACCTCCCCATAACTCCGCGCGGTGTCAGAGTGGAGTACGTGGTGGCTGAAGAGGTGGCCTGCTGCTGCGGCCAGGCTCACCTCCGCAAGCTGTGTGAGGTTGTACAGCTCAGGAGGACAGCCCTCCGGCCCCTCGGTGCATACTGCAGCTATACCACCCTGCTCAGGACTCGGCTCGGCTAAACTGACGCTCCTCTCAGGACTGCTGTCTGTGCGAACAAAGGATTAGACATGCTGTTTGCAACATGTCACCACACGCACATACACACCACTCAAGTTACAATGAGTTTATCGGTTAAATTATTGTCCTAGGGTCCAATATACTACTTCAGACCATATTTGAATCATGTAACAGACGTAAATATGGAACTTGCTAATGGAAATCCGAAGAATGAATTCTGTTTCCTTGGAAACCCTCACCGTTTACTTGGGCGTCAGGGAAGAATGTTTAAAGGTAATACTAAAATGGATCTTAGGGAAGGAAGTTTTCAGGATGTTTAGCGTACTGAGTTGAACTGCAGCAGGATAATATCCAATGGCGGGCCTTGGTTGAAACCTACGTTTTTCTTATCGGATAGCCTATGATCACAGTGGCCGCGTGGTCTAAAGCAGTGTTTTCTCAACTGCCGGGCCCTGGCATCAATTATACTGGGACCTCGTCCTATAGAAAAAAGAATTTTCCGGGCCGCAGTCTGACCAAAGTTGAGAACCACTGGTCTAAAGCAGGAAAAGTCTCTTACCGCTCAAATGCTGAGATCTTAGGTTCTGATCCCAATGTTTGCGACTTTTCTGTTTATGTTCTCGTTCTCCTGTGTAGGTAGCGGCCTTGCAACGGGAGTCCTGATAACTCTCTATAAGGTTCAGAAGGCTCTCCAAAATATTCGCCTGCGACTTGAATGTACGAGTACATTACAGCAGAGCATATCACTGAATGGTTGCATTCCCGGAATGCAAGTGTTGTGTCGGATGCCATGTTCAGAATCCAGAATGCTTTAAAATTATATACAACTGTCCGTATGTAAAAGAAATATAAAACATGGAAAACGATAGTAAGAAATAAAACGAGAAATTGCGGGAAAATAAGTTGGGTACCGACTCGATGCCCCTAAGATTATGTATGTCTCCGTTGCTTTCAAACGTTTCATAGTTTTCTGTGTGTAATTATAAAAAGAAAAGATTATTTTGTCCTATGAAACAAATTACAGTGGATTGTCTTCCGTCGTGAACTCCTTACAAAGGAAGATGCTGAAGTGATATCGAGTTTTTGCTGACAGGTGTCCAGAAGCGTCCTCAAGGTGGGTGTCGGCACTCTGCCATGAGAGCAAGTTGTTGTAACAAGTGGAAGAAGCGACGCCAGATCACAGGTGGAAGGGGACGGATTTTGGGTGCTTGCCATCCATTGCCCCTACCCCTCTTTTTCTGACGCACCAGCGTCTCTCTTGATCGCCATTGTGTTCCAAAATTGAAAGAAAGCGATAAAAATAAAACTTGCTGGCGTCGTTCCTGTCGTACCAACTGACGAACCCAAAGAGTTACCAGACGGGGCGCTTCTCGGCTCTGTACTTTGTGCATTTTTAAATGGTTGACCGATTGAGTCTTAAGTTATTTAACGTGTTTATTCTAGTTATTTTGAGTTTTCCTGTTCTAAACTATCTGCCAGTTATGTCTCTTCATCCATGCTCAGACGTAGAGCGTGCCTTAAAAGAATTAAATTTTATTACAGGCATAGTTAAAATGGCCGCACTTTACAGGGTCAAATATTCATCTAGCGGCTCATGTGGGCGATGGACCTGCCCGAACCTTCCCTTGTACTGGAGTCAGCCGCTCACAGCAGACTTATATGCAGAAGGCTGTACAATATTTGAAGTTTCCACGGCGACTGATTTAAAAAATTTGTTCCTCTCTGACAAATGGTGAGGACCTCAACAAAAACGCTTGGTTGCATAGAATGGCCCAAAATGGAGAGGGTACGACAGGTTATCACGTCAGTGTACGTTCATATATATTTATTTAAAGGCGACATCTGCATTACTGTAGTATAGACATTACTGAACTGAAGACGTGTCCCCCTCTCTCTGCACCCCAGATTTCACTCCATTGAACTCCCCTTGAAGAGTTGATGGGTTAAGAAGAGACCGCCTTGATTCTGCCAAAGCTTCGAAGAACTTAACTTTAGAATTCGAGTTGAGTGTGACTCATCTTGACTTTCAAATGTTGCGCAATTATTGGAGAGAGACCGTATCGTATTGCTTATGTAGGATAGCCGTATTAGAATTCTGAGGTAAAAATAACATTTTAAATATTGCTGCTTGTGTCCTAAAATTTATTAATATAGTCAGCTTTTACTTTGCAATAAAAATTCAAATGTATAAAGATAATTTATAACTATGTATACATATACATACACATACATATACACACACATGCACACAAGCTCGCCTTCATAAATTAGTTTCATGGGCTCCTTTCGACTGCAGTCTTTATATTCATAACAGGTTTTTACGTCGTTTATGTATTATACAGCCTTCGCGTTATACCTTGTGGTGTATAGTGATAAAATCTGGCAACTGACATTCTCTCTTCCATTTCCTTTAGTTGGTGGTTGAACCACTTTACTTCAAATGTGAATGTCTAATTGATCCTGGTTGCCTGGTTTCTAGTATTATCAGCTCTGTTGCAACCCACAGTAATACTTAGGCATATAATTTAAGCTACTAAATTATATTAATTGCATTTTGATTCAGTTCAATCATATATCAAACGTTTTTTCAGTGGATATTTAAAATTAAATCTTGAAATTTTCCAATTATATTATCTCGCTGTTCATTCTGCTGATGCTAGCAAAGATGCTACTGTGCCTTCAGTTACGAAAACAACCAAACTTGCCCTAGCATTAAATAATGAGATTCATCAAGATGCAGGTGTCTGTTCAGTTTGTTGTCTTCCTTATATTGAAAAAATACAAGTAGGTTTATGAGATCACCTTGATGTCTGTGTCTCTATGTCCCCCTTGTCAATAACGGAGTCAGAAAGGACGGCAATTGGTAGACAACGGCACTGTAAACACGTTACCTCGACAAAGAATACATACTCAAAGATAGGAGAACTGTGGTTTCTGTGTGTGTGTGGGGGGGGTTTTCTGTGCGGTCCATATCGTATCGGATACTATGTACTGGAAGGAAAGTGAGCGATTAGTTAGTTATTCTCATAAATTCTTGTTGAACATGAAAGATAAATTTATATCCTATTGCATGAGACACGTTGGTATTCTCCAATTATTAATGAATTAAAGAAGTTTTTAAATTTTAATCTGAGATTTCCAAAGTGCCGGTTCAGAGACGATACCCCAGCTGAAAACCGACTTTAGGGTAGTGCGTTGGCTGGTTAGGTCTGTCGCACATTTCAAGGGCAGTGGTGTTATATTAATGCGGTGCGTTGGTGTGGAATGTAGGTCGGCAAGAAAATGGCGAAATACTCAGAGAGAAGCCTGTTCCACTGACATGCCACAAATTCCACGTTAACTGAGTTGGAATGGAGACGCTGACTTGTTAACTCCTCCATCTTCTAAATTCAAGCAAATCCTTTGTCAGCGTTCCTGTGTTTCAGTTATACCTTCCATTTCAGCAGGTGGAGCTGAACACTTGGCATTTACGAGGCCGTGTTTAACGAATCTGTTGCTGCCGATGAACAGCGCACATGTCTGGGCACCATCTTGCACACGACTGGTATTAATAGAAAACAGCTATGACCTCAGTTAGTGCCGAATGAACACAAAAATTTACGTGGGCCCGATATTTAGTTTTGGGTGATTTTCTGTAAACAATAAGGAAAATTATAGACCCTTCACACGTTTTGGTGAGGTGCTGATAGATTGCTGCTGTTAGAAAAAATACTGTTTGGCGCGAATGCCACTATCAACGTAAAGTTCCGGGAAATATTGGCGAGTTGTGTGAAGCACTCCACCTGTGCAGCAGTAACACCCGCAGCCGTAAATACATTCATATGCATATAGGATACATAGTGCAGTCCTAGAGCTCTGGTAATACATATACTTGAAATCTGGCGGACATAATAATTTCATATCTCACCATCGTATCATCATTTTCCCGGTCGCTTTAACATCAAAAAGCGTTTTTTCCATAACAATTTGACGATATATTTGTGACCGCTTTTCATAACAAGTGGTTCACTAGGCCTAATCATCTCTCTCACAATGTAACAATATTGTAACATGACGCCTGAAAGCCGCAATAATGGAGTCGGAACCAGGTGTCCTTTGCTAGACAACAGCCCGGTAATCATGTTTCCGCGGCAACGAATGCTGACACGTTAAACAAATAGCAGAGAAGGTATCGCTGCCTAGGTTCTACCACACTACCACACTTCTACCACACTTGAAAAGACTAAATCTTACAACTTCAGAGCAGTTGTTATGAACACTTGCATAACTTTAAGTGATCTGTAGTCCGTTGCCCTTACAATACTTAAATGTAATAACGAAAGGAACATAAATCAAGGCAAATAACATGATTAGTTTTCCCACTTAATTAATGAAAATTAACCTTCTAATTCTTTACTCTTAAGTATTTTACAAATTGTAATTTTTATGAGTATTTAGTATGGTTGTACTGAGGGAGTTTGAGAACAGGGTGTTGAGGAGAATATTTGGACCGAAGAAAGATGAAGTGACAGGAGATTGGAGTAAATTGCATAATGAGTGGCTTCATAACTTGTAATCTTCTCCAAGTATAATTAGAATGATCAAGTCAAGGAGGATGAGGTGGGCAAGGCATGTGGCACGAATGGGGGAGACAAGGAAAGAGACCCCTGGGAAGACCAAGGCGTAGGTGGGCGGACAATATTAAAATGGATCTTAGAGGGATAGGATGGGATGGTATGGATTGGATTGGTCTGGCTCAGGATAGGGACCAGTGGAGGGCTCTTGTAAACACGGTAATGAACCTTCGGGTTCCATAAAATGCTGGAAAATTCTTGAGTAACTGCAGAATTGGCGGCTTCTCCAGAAGGGCTCAGCTCCATGAGTAAGTAAGTAAGTAAGTAAGTTTAGTATGGTTGTATTTGTTTTAAATTTTTGCGCATAGTGCAGATTTGGCAAGATTGTCGTAAACATACGGGGAGAAGTCATATATATATATATATATGTGTGTGTGTGTGGGTACGCTTCACAGAAACATCTTCTAGTCGTGGC